GGGGGAGGGATGTACGTACATAAAGGTATATGAAGTATAGAATCAAAAGTCACTTACCATAGTGAAAATTATTTATTATATTAGATTGTTCAAATAATTCTGTGCCCCTAACCCAAAATAATAGAGCACAGAATTATTTAAACAACCGATAACAAGGTATTAGATGCCAACATAAAGAACCCGCCACACTTTTCCTGTAATTTTCTGTAAAAAATGGCGGGTTCTTTATATCGACATCTAATATTTTATTCCTAAAGTAATAGTTACAGTAAATATTGTTAGGTAAAATTGTTTTACGAACCTTATGCTACCTTAAAAAAGCTTTAAAATTTTGAAAAACGCGACATTTGTCACGATACCTGAGATGCCAAAAAACAGCGTGACTCAAGGTCAAATCCGTGACCAGCTGATTACTTTTTGATAATTGTAAAAAAAGAATTCGTGCTTTAACCCTTATCTAGATAGCAAAAAACTACAGTAAGCAGAGAGTTAAAAGAGCAAAGAATGCAGAACAAGTAAGCTAGAACATGCCCATGCTACAGAATTTTTCGGCTGCAAAAAATACAGTTACAGTATTTGTAAAGTACATAAGTATGTAGTAGTACCCTGCCTTACCCCACCCTACCGTACCCTACCCTACCCTACCCTACCCTACCCTACTCTGCAATACCGAACCTTAACCTGCCCGCAGAGTAGTACCCTACTTACTATAATATAATAGTAAGTCTCAAACATAACTTTGTTATAGCTATATACAAAGTTAAAAATATTTTTTGCTCTACTGTAATACCACAACAGAAAAGTTTGTTTACTACAACCCAAGATGTTACCCATGTGATTGTAGATCTGCTGTAAATTTACAACAAGATCCGGTAAGCAGTTGAAGAAGATAATTTATGTTTTGCTTTTCAAAAAACAAAACAAATCTCCTCTTTTTGACATAAGTGAAACCGAAAGTTTTGTAAAACAATTTATGAAAAACAAGGTGAATTAAGGAAATCACTCGTTTTACAACATACTTTGGTATCTTGTGGTTTTAAAGAGTAAGAGTGACATATAAAAGTGATAATAGTAATTTAGGCTTACGTTTGTTAAGCTTAAAGCCTTGTTTGCAAGCCTAAAGGTAAAGCTTGTGCCCTGCTTTGCCTTGCTCTGCCTTGCCACGCCATGCCTTGCCTTGCCATGCCATGCCTTGCTCTGCCTTGCCTTGCCTTGCCTTGCCTTGCCTTGCCTTGCCTTGCCACGCCATGCCTTGTCTTGCCTTGCCTTTCCATGCCTTGCCCTGCCAAAACCTTTATCTATCACACCTTACTCTACCCTAATCATAATGCAATTCATCTGTAATTGCCTTACATTATACTAGTGTAACATACCCTACCCTATTCTACCCTAATGTAGCCTACCTTACCCTATTCTATCAAGGCTTATCCTACCCACCCCTACGCAACCCTACCTCTCTAAAAATAAGAAAGTTGATGTCTATTTTTGTACTGAAAGCAGACTAAACCAGTAAATCAATGTCCTTTTGATTGTTTGTTGTCTAGACCTGTTTCCAACAACCTTTTATTTACAATTAAAACGGTCTTTAAACCGTCGAATCCCAACTTTTTTCTAACCGACTGCCTACGCTTCGTTGAACGGTCGAAAAGAAAGTAATCGGGATGACAAGAAAACACGGTTTTACAATAAAGATAACACTAAAGCTAGAGTTAACATTATATCATTACTAAAGATGGTGTTTACAATATACATTAGAAAAAGGAGAGTGGTTTACAATAAGAAGAGTGTTTTACATTGTAAACCTAATGGCAAAAAAGAAGGTCTTACAATGTAAAACCAACGGAGGTTTACTATGTTTCATTGTAATATATCGGGCGTTGCAAAAGTTAAGTGGTTCTTTGAATCGGGTCTATAACAACATCGATTTATAGTTTAAAACATGTTTGCTAGGTTTTTTGACAAGGACTAGGGCTAGAAAAAGGCTAGAGCTAAGACTAAGCCTTAAACTGAGGTTCAAGCTAAAGCTAGGACTAAAGCTAGGGTTGAAGCTAGAGCTAAGGCAATGCCTAAAGCTAAAGCTACGGCTAGAACTAGGACTAGTGCTAAGAATATGGCTAGAGATAGGGCTAGGGCTAATGCTACAGCTAGGGCTAATGCAAAGACTAGGAATAGGGTTGAGGCTAAGGCTAAAACTAAGGCTACTGTTGGGATTAGGGCTAGTACTAGGGCCAGGGCTAAAACTAGGACCCTCACATGCAAATTACATAATATTAAAAAACACAGTAAACCCCCAGTTACTTCCCTGCCTTCTATACAAACTGTCAATCCAGCCCTAACTATAGCCAACAGAACTAAATAATTTCTTGTTGTTGTTAACAACAGAAGTAAACACCTTTTAAGTCATACACAGAAGTAATATAATGTATATTCACATACAAGCCCATAAGATAGTAAAACCATATTTCCTTGTATCCCTCAAATCAAAACCAATTCAATCGAATCCTAATTACATTCCACCTCCGAGCTAGAACAACCTCAACATTGAATTCGCTTACAATGGAGATCTCTGCGCGCGCGTGATCTTTCATCTTGCCCACTTTTTCCGCGAATCCATCTCCAGGGTGTGACTATTAAGTTGAGGTTAAGAAGCAGGTATTTATAAGCGCAAAGGTTATGGATACCCTTTTTAAAGAAATTAATTGTAATAAATAATACTTAAAGAATGGCGTGGTTTGTCAGATTCAGTATGTTTTCTAGAGGGCGGAACAGAGCACGGAAGGCAAGCCTAGACAAGACAGGTCAAAGCAAGGCAAGGCAAGAAAGGACAGGACAAGGCTGGTCAAGGCAAGGCAAGAGAGGGCAAGGCAGAGCAAGAAAAGACAAGGCAGAAGAGGGCAGGACAGTGTAAGGTAGGCTAGGGTATGAGAATTTAAGTTAGGGTTAGACATGAGGAACGGACCGGGCCTGAGTATTAGACCCGGTCTGATCTAAATTTGGGCCAAGGCCGGCCCGTTCCTCATCTCCAGTTAAAGCAGCTTAATGTAAGACAGGCCAAGGTAGAACAAGCTAAAAAATAAGGCCTGGCAAAAGCTATACATGCCATTCTTTTCGCATCAGTATAAAACTTAACAAAACTTTCAAAGCACGCCATTCCTTTTGCATCAACACAAAACATAATTTTCAACAAAAATTTGTAAATCCAAAAAAATGATCAAAGAATTCAACAAAACGTGGTTTCAAACCAATTAATCTTATTGTTTATGAGGTGAACCCAAGTTCCACGCATCGAAGTTTATTTCAACGTGTTAACTACCCTTTCTTACCCACGTTGAAATAAACTCCAATTGACAATAACTGTTGACGCATTTTTTGGGCGTGGAATTTCGAAATGTTTTTTGAAATGACTACGAAACCACAAAAAAAGTAAAGGTCTTCAGCGTTGAAACGTTCGACATCTGAAGGCTGTTGCCTATTTAAAGCAAAGACATCGAAATCCGTATTTTACCATTCTATAAGACATCGTATTATCACAGAAGTGTGACTTGGTATATCTCGTAACAAGAACTTACTTTAATACTCAAAAACCATACCCAACTGATATTTATACCACAGTAAAATTATACAGTTGTTCAAATAATTGCGTGCCTACTTTCAAAGCAAATTTTCGGAATGAGAGAGCACAGAATTATTTGAACAAACGCATAACTACTATGTTGTTCAAATAATTCTGTGCCCCCCCCCCTTCAAATCAAATGTTTTGGATTAGAATTGTTAAAATAATTCTGTGTCCCCTCTAAAAGAAAATTTTATAGAAAGGAGCACAGAATTATGTGAACAGCCTAACACATCACAGTAAAACCAACAACAACCCTCTTACTATAGTAAAACCAAAAGTAAATATATGAAAATCAATATGCCGTCGAAAAGAAGAAGGGAAGGGGCTTCTTGGGCGGAACGGAATACCCTCATTCTTCTCGCATCTGCCTCAAAAATCACAAAAAAGGAGAGAAAATCGAGTTCAAGGCTTTTTATTTACAGAGATCGTCGACGGAAATTAAAAATAACCATTTCTCATACCACAAATTTGAATTTAAAGGGTATATCTTTCGGTGAAAGATCAAAACAACTTATTTAAAATAAATTTGATTTTATGCTTATCAAACAGAAAATGATTTTCAAAGTTTCGATATGAAATACCGGTCAAAAAGTTTGTAGAAAGTCTTTAAAAGCGCTAAAGGCATCTCAATGTCATCCGTTACATTATGGAGCTCAAGGTGATTTGCGCTATGTAAGTTAGTTTTAAAATGCCCTATCTTATTCGTACCTTTTTTAAATGTAGTGTAATTTTGGGTATAGTACCTGAAGTTTATTGTAAAGCTTATAGTAAAATTTTGTAAAGGTATAAACATTGTGGCTAAAGTTATGACCAAGTTTCCGGTTATAACACAGTTTTTCCTGATATATTATGGTTTTCAAATAATTATGTGCCTCCTTTCAAAAAAAATTTTCGGGATTAGGAGCTCAGAATTATTTGAACAGACTAATAAAGTTTATTTCCATAAAGCTTTTTGAACAAAATTGCTAACAACAGTTTGAAAAACCTATAGCATCTTGTTAAGCATGACATTTTGCGTATATAATTAAATTTTTTATCATTTAACGCCAAAAGGCAACAAAGTAAAAACAGTTTTAAAACTGAAAAACCCTAATTTCCAAACAAAATCAAAGTCTTTCAGTTTTAAAATTTAAAAAAGCAATAACATTTTTATAAAATAAAAATCAAGATGACTTTTTTTAGAACAGATGCTAAAAACACTACCCTTTAATAATTTATACCAAACTCAAGCATTCCCTTTCAATTTTTACCTATTTACCAAACTTTTTGTTCAAAAAATTCTCCGAAACATCAAATTTTAATGTTTACTTCAACTTTCAAGCAAGAATACAACTAACAGACGCATAGTTGCATCTTACCCACCTATAAGTCCTGACAAATTGATTTACAGAGGAGAAATCTCGATTCCCTTCTCTTCGGCACGCTTAGCCAATTCGGTTGGGCAAGTGTGAAGGTACTTGCGCTCGTACGAGCAGATCTCCTGCATTCTCTTGTATGGATCGTAGCTGCTGAAATTGGAAAATATGTTAAAAGTGTGTTATTTATAAAGTTTTAACTATAAATAGGAAGAGAAGGCAATTTTACTTAGAGTATTACCTAAATTATCTAAAACATGACACCAAGAACAGAAAAAGCTATAAAAACCAAAATTGTAACCACAAACCTACTAAAAAGTCCTATTTGTCTTTAAAAATCTATTTTAAGCCTACTCATAACTTTTGAAACATATATAAATATAACTTTAATTACTTCAATGTCAACTTAAAACAACTAAGCAGCTAAAACCCACATTTATATAAAGCACGGACATAAAAATATAATGACTATTAGAAAAACTCCATGTAAACAATATAGCTTTAAAATATTCTTCAAAACTCATATTAACCTTAAGTCTTAACTTAAAACATCGTAAGCGTAGCTTCATACCTAAAAACATCACAAAATAACAAAAAAAACTTACGCGTAGAAAGCTTCGTAGTTGCGACGACGGTTGTTGACATAAGTCAAGTTGAACAAGACAGTCGCACCAATGGAAACGGCCAAAGAAGCCCAGATGAAGCGCCTCGCGCTGCTGTGGAGCATTTGACGCATTGGTGCTGGTGGGGAGGACATTTTGGCAAACTAAATTAAAAGTTTTAAGATGGCTGAAATTATTATAAAACTGAATATATTAAGAACGCCAAAAAAACAAAACAAAAAATATCGAAATTCGAATATTTTTTTAGATTATACAAAAAGATAAAAAATAAATAATGAAACCGGGTAAAATTCAAACAAAAAATATTTTATAGTCTACTAAATCCAGAAGTAACATCTTGTTGATGTTTGAGTAAAATATCAAATAGTAAAACCAAGTAAGAAAAAAAGATAAAACGAAATCCATTCGAAACCCCCTTTTAACCCCTACAACAACATCAAAAAATCAATAAAAACAAAAAAAAGCCATTAAAAATTCTTAAATGATATAACATACTATTTAGCACTAAAAACGCCCAAAAGTCCTCTAAAAGCTGGTAGAATGCTAAAAAAAATTCTCTTCTACTTCTCGACGAACTCACGTACTGATCCTGAAAATCAGGGAAAAAAAGAAATTTGTGGCATTCCGCCGCAAACAACATTTTTACGGAAATTTTTTCACATGACCGATAAAAGACGAACTTTGGAGTTAACAACTAGCTGTGATTGAATTTGGTGATTATAATGACTACACAAACAGAAACCTTGACAACTTTGAAGATTTTGATTGTTGGCGAAAGTGGAGTGGGCAAATCTAGGTAGGATAATATAAATTTTGTCTTGTTTTTGCTTTTTGAACTGTTTCGAAATTGGTAAACGTTAATGTTTTGTCTGTTTTAGCTTGATGCTGAGATTTGTCGACGACACGTTTGATCCAGAACTGTCAGCTACGATTGGTAAGTTGTGTTTTCATTAATTTATTTTGTTTTAGGCGTTGATTTTCGCGTAACTACGATGAATATCGATGGGAACAGTGTCAAATTGGCTATCTGGGACACGGCTGGTCAGGAACGGTTCAGAACGTTGACTCCTAGTTATTATCGTGGAGGACAAGGGATTATTTGTGGTAAGAGAGTTGTTTTGATGGATAACGTTATTAAAAAGATGTATAACTAGTTTAATTTGAGTATTTATAAGTAAAAACAGGTGTAGTTTTACGGCAAATTTAATGTGTAATTTAGTAAAAGGTTTTATTTTACGTAATAATTACGATTTTAATTTGTTTTTAATAAAAAACTGATAATATCTGGCAATCAGGTGTAGCACCTAAAAAAATCTGTTTTGACTACGTAACTTGTAAATATAACTTCAATCCTTTTAGTATACGATGTCACAAACCGAGCGACATTTGACAAGTTGGAACACTGGATTCTGGAAGTTGATACATATAGTACCAAGTCAGATTGCATAAAGATGTTGGTCGGAAACAAGATTGATTCTGCTGCTCGAGATGTCTCGACTGAAGAAGGGCTTGTTTTTGCTCGAAAACATCGTATGTTGTTCATTGAAGCTAGTGCCAAGACGAGAGAAGGTGTACAGTGTGCATTTGAAGAGCTTATTGAGAAGGTAAGTGAACAAGGAGTAAAGGGTCATTGGTAATATAAAATTAGCTGTTTTTGTGAGAAAATGGGTTTTATATGGCTTTATATTTTTGGGAGAGATAGCTTAGAGTCTTTAGAAGATAACTTGAGTGGTCGGTTATTATTAAAAGAGGTAAAATATATTTTATTGAGCAAAAAACTTGAGTAAGATCATCACTTATGGGTTCATAATATAAATCTTTAGATTTTATGTTGATTTCGGGATTTTTTTTAAATTTTTTAAATACTTTCGCTAAAAAATGTGTGTTGATTTAGTGTGTTACACGTTTTTTTCGGTCTACATGAACCTTGTTTCTGTGTTCTTCAACGTTTAGTAGTTTTTTTGCTTAAAAATAAGTTTTTTATGTTCAGAAGAGCACGACAGAGCTAATGAAATTAAGTAATTTCTTAACAAAAACGAAATATTCGGTAGTTTTTGTGATTAGTCATGATTAGGTTAAAACAGCTAAAGAAATAACAGATAAAAGAGAAGTAGTATAAGATTATCTTTGTGAAATACTTTAACATAATGTAAGTTAAGTCAATTTTGACTAATTTTTTGATAAAAATTAAGTTTTGGGCATATTGTTCATGATGAAAAAAGTGAAAAACTTGTGAAATTAACCATAAAATGAGCTTACTTGTTACAGTGTATAAGTATTGATTAAGAGGCACAAATATTGTAGTATCGAGAGTGAGACGAAGAAAAAGCATCGAAAGTCTTGTCTTTTAGGTTTTTATTTTCATATAGCGGGAAAATTGATAAAATTCATGTTGTTTTGTATTATATTTGGTTTTAGCTGGTTCATTTTGTTTTTATGGGGTTTGAATTAATCTTTTGAGTTAAAGCTGGGAATTTTATAGGTTTTAATGTAGTCTTTAGTTTGAAGTCAAGTTTATGGCTTGAAAACAAGCCTATGCCTTGAAATTAAGTCTATGGCAATTAGGGAGGTATTATAATTTTTTTGAAATTTTTAAAAAAGTCAAAAACTTTATTTTGATCAAAACATTGTTGTAGATTCTGCAAACCCCGGGTCTTTGGGAAGGAAACCAAGGCGGCGTACAGCTGCGGAATTTCACTGACGAAGATTCACCACAATGGTGTAATTGTTGAGGACATACCTTTATCAAGTTTTGTAAAAAGTGTATATTATTCAGGAGTGCTATATTATAACAATAAACGTCTAAGGGATAACTTTTATAATTGAGCATTTTAAAGTTGATTTTTACCTTGGAGAATATTTTTTATAGATGGCATTGTACTTGATTTTTTTGCACGGTGCAAAGTAATGACCGTTGCACAGTGCAGATTTTAAAAAATTTTTAATACATGGTTTAAAAAATTTTAAATGTTGATTCATAAGCCTATTTCAACGCGGTTTACATATTCTTTACAAGTAAAAGTATTAAAACTTGATTAAGATCTAGTCAAGGATGTCAGAAGAAGATAAAGAGTCAGTAGATCAGCTTGGTGGTCTATTGGACGAGGCTTTGGGAGGATTTGGAAAGGCTAAACCAGCTCCAACTAGATCCACAGACGATGATCTGGACGACTTTTTGGCTCCAATGGATGCCGAAGCTACGAAAAAGGCAGCTGAAACATTTGAGGTAGGGTTTTCGCCTTGTTTTGTTATGATTTTAGGGCAGAAATCGAATTTTTTAAAATTGAAGGTTTACGATTTGTAAAGGAATGTAAGTTTGATGTAGTCTAAAAATTTTGGGGATTTATATTGAGTAGTAAAAGAATTACAGCTTTTCAAACCTCAAGGTCTCATTAGAACTTACCTGAAAAAATGTAATTTTCAGAAAATGCTGAAAGACATGGAAGAAACAGCAAAGAATGCGAAGAAAGAAGAAGAATCAGAAGTATCATTGCCAGCAGGAGGCTCTCAATTCTTATGTGAGCTTCTGGGTATCAATAAGTTGTTGGATGAAGATGGAGCAGATCCAGAAATTCGCCAGCTAACAGAGGTTCTATTACAAGGATGTTTCACAAAAGAAGTTATTCATCCTTTGCTAATACAGTTCCATAAAGCTATCACTGAATATCTGAATGATAACGACCTTGAGGATGAACAAAAACAGAACTTGGAGGCTCAGAAGGAGGTAATGAGCGTGTTTTTGATGTTGTTTTAGATGGGTTTGGGGTGGGGATGGAATGGAAGGTTAAGGATTGGACTAGCTAAAAGGAATGGAAGGTTAAGGACTAGCTAAAAGTGGTCTTTAAAACATGATTTTCAGGCTTTGGAATAGTAGAAATGAAGTTTCAGGGGTTATGTAGAGCTAAAATATGGTTTTTGCTTACTTATAGGCTAATGTAATATTATTTTTTAGCTAGTCTAAGGTCAAGTTGAATGAAGAGGAGTTAAGGTCTACTCTATAATTAAGGTCTAGCAATAAGGAAATATATATATATTATACTAAACCTCCACTCTTTTAGGTCTTCGAAAAGCTGATTCAAAGCTACGAAACCCAGTCGGATCCAGCCACAAAAGAGGAAACCGACCAACAGAACTCGTTGTGGGCACAGCTCAGAGACCTGGGAGAAGTTCCGCCAGCTTTATTAGAGAAGTTCGAAGCCAACCTTCCGAACCCAGGCCTACTACCCAACATGGGCGGATTCCCGGGCGGTGGTGATGTGAATCCAAATCAGTGCAACATCATGTAAAAGTGAAACCTATATATTAAGAGTTCCAATAATGTTTAAAAAATTTTGTGCTTTTTTTCAAAAAAAATTTTTTGGATTAGGGGGCACAGAATTATTTGACCTACCTAATAGTATAATGACGTTTGAAGTTGCGCTTTTATGGCGGTTTGAAATTTTAAATTAAGAAAAATGTGTGACTGGGTGTGCATTGGTTAAAAAGTTTATGGATAAATGCTTAGAAGTGTTCATTCTACAAACTTTTTGACCGAAATTTTGAAAAATTTTATTTTTGGTTGATTATGTGACATTTGATGCTCTAGCCTTTCTCATTTTTCTACCTTCAGCATTGTTACCTTTCCTTTTTGAATACAAAATCTTACATTGTGATGATGATATATACTGTTATATGTTTACAATAAATATTATTTTGCTGACTATAGGATTATTTGAATTTGAGGTCAATAGTAATATCCTATAACTCGATATTTTAAGGCTTTAGCATTGTTATTAATTTTTTGAGCTCATGCTGGTGAAAAATTCACTATGAATACTACAATACTTAACCTTGGATTTAAAGGATATACTCACTATATCACTTTAAGGTATACTCACTATAGTCATGACAAACCTACCCCCAACATACGCGTCGTACGTTGAGCGAACGTATCATCTTCACAGAATCGACTCGAATCCAAATGTTGACTACCTAAGACATCCGAGCGGAGTGATTGTAATGCAGCTAGCCGCCTCTCATCCAGCCTACAAAAGTGGCATAACTTCGGTCGATTTCGATTGCTCGAAAAATAAAAAAGCCAAGGATAAGGCCAAACAGAATGTGGTTGGCAAGGGAAAGAAGGTCAGTTTTATACATATACTGTAACGTCGGATTGGTATACTGTAGGATTGTACTGTAGAGTTGGATTGATAATTTTCTTTGCGGTACAAGATAGGCTTTCTATCTTACTTTAGACTAATTTCTTGACAGCTTAATAATAATGACTTTGTTCTAGGGAGGCCTTCGCCTTCAACCAGAGACCAAGCTCTGTGTCATAACATCCGCTGACAATGAACAACATACCATTCGAGCTGGCATAAAAGCTTTGTTGATTGAGGTAAACACAAAACTCTTGGACCAACCTGAACTGTTAACGACTTCAAGACAGAAGAAAGGTTTCTTGGCCATTATTATCCCTCCGGCCATTTTGCAAAATGAAAAAAACAAAATTCCAAATGAATTTGGACCTCCAACGAGGATTGGCACTGAATTACCGGTTGTTAGGTGGACTAGGGAGAAGAAAAATAGTGCTGATGGGAATGGAAATGGTACTGGCGGTTTTGTGAATGAGGGGAAGGTTTCTGCTGGTACTGTTGGGAATGGAAATGGTACTAGTGGTACTTTAAATGGAAGGAATGGTAGAACTGGTACTAAAGAGACTGGTACAAATGGTACGGAAGGGAATGGTTAGTTCATTAACTATCATTACTTATTTTTATGTGAAAATAGTACCAATAGTACTAAATATTCTTATTTTCTTATGTATGGTACTCAGGAAACACATTAGTACTATTAACACTTTTTAAAGCTATTACCTGAACCAATATTAGTACTGGTGTTATGATAATATAAAAAATACGTTTCATGAAATTTTAGAAATGAAACGAGAAGTAAAAGCAGAAAAGAAAGAAGTAGAAGTAAAAGCAGAAGAGAAAAAAGTAGAAGTAAAAGCAGAAGCAAAAGAAGAACCAATGGAAACGAATGAAGCGGCAGAAGCATAATAATATGTTTTTTGTGGATCTCATGTTACACCTTGTTATTGTTACATTGTTGAGATAAATTTTCATTTTTTATTGTTTTTCTAGTTATTTCTTGACCGCTTTGATTAAAAAACAGCTTTTTTGACCAGTCTTGCAAGATGTTAGGTTGTATAAATAATTTTGTGCTCCTGAAACCCTAAAGGTTGCTTTGAAAAGGGGCGCAGAGTTATCTGAACAACTTAATATTTTTAATTTTTAAAATGTTTTTTTCGAAATTACAATATGAAAAAGAGAAATTTAAAAAATTTCAATTTGAAAATGCAAATTTTAATAAATTTAAAAAATTTCGAATATTTTTTTTCATTTTACTTCAATTTTTTACTTACTTTCGCCAGGAACGGTCGATAATCAAAGAACGGCCGATAATCGCCTTCCGAAATGAGTATTTCCTCTCTGCCGTTGTCTATATCGCTGAACCCAACCTCGGAGCAAACGTCGTTCTCGGAGGACGATAGCGATATTGAGAGTTCTGGAAGCTTGGAACATCTGCCTGATTTACCATACGAATATAAACAACTAGATGATGAGGAAGAGGTGGAGAGACGTCAGAAAATGGTGGACGAGTTTTGGGAGAAGGAAGAGGTTGGAGGGAAGAGAAGGGGTGTTAAGGTAAGGTTTTTGATTTAAAAATAAAAAAAAATTTTAATTTTGTTTCCAATTTTAAAATCAACATTATATTTCTTTTGTTTCAGACTCTTCACTTGAACGGCCGTCTTCGGCCCAAACTTCATTACAAGTTCTGGTTTGATCGAGTACATCGCAAAAAGGACGGGAAAGTAACAACAACTACTGAATCTACGAAGGATTCAAAATCTACAGAATCTGATTCATTAGAGAATTGGGAGGATGAATCTGATACTCCACTCACTACCTCAAGTAATGGCCGTCAAAATGATAAAGAATACAGTACCTCAGCTGATACCCAAACTAGTGCCGAATCAACTCAAAGCCAAGAGTATCAAGAGTCAACGAGTTTGGATTCTATTCCCCTAATAACGCCTTCATCTGATGCCTCATTGATTGAAACTGGCACATTATCTGACATTTCAAGTACCGCTTACAATAATTCATCCAATTTTGAAGACTATGTTGAGTATGACACTTCTTCTGATACCCAGATTGATAGTTCATCCAATGCTGAAGACTATGTTGAGTATGACACTTCTTCTGATACCCAGATTGATAGTTCATCCAATGCTGAAGACTATGTTGAGTATGACACTTCTTCTGACACCCAGATTGATAGTTCATCCAATGTTGAAGACTATGTTGAGTATGACACTCCTTCTAATACCCAGGTTGGCAGTGAATCCCTTCTGAACGATGGAGGTCTGTCTTCATCTGATTCGGCATCTGAAGTTGTGGAATTAAGTTCACATGGGGTCTCAACTGTGGTTTATTATACCTCATTGAAAAGTCAGAATTATGATGAAGATGATGCCTTGTTTGATACCCAAAATGAAGCTTCTACTGCTTCAGATGGTGAAGGAGATGAAGCTTCTACTGCTTCTGATATTGTCCAAACTGAAGCTTCAACTACTAACCTAAATGGAGCGACTGATACCCAAATTTATTACTCATTTACTGCCTCGTCTATTACCCAAAATGATGACCTATCTACTGCTCTATCTATCACCCAAAGTGATGTATCAGATCCCCAAAATGCCATTTATGAAGACCTGAAAACTGACGAAGAATCCGGCTTCTCCCAACCAAGTCTATACGAAAGCAATTCCAGCACCGAATCTCTTCGTGACGTCTACAACGGCTTCAGAATCCAGAATACGACGAAAGAAATAGTGAATACAGAAGACCAGAAACTGTCTTTCATCTTGAACAATACGAAATTGGAAGAATATCAAGAAGAAACCAAGATTAAGAAGATTGAGGAGAGTGAATGTTGAAGAATCGTATGTAACATTTCATCTGACTTTTGCTGAAGATTGATGGTATAAAATGGTAGAGGAAAGACGTTATTGAAAGAAAATAGCAGTAATCATGTTGTGTTTGATATGAAATATGATTGTTCTATGAATAAAGATTGTATAGGATCAAATTTGATATCATTGACAGGTAGACCCAATTGACTTTATGTTGTGATAGCTATCACAAAGTAAGGTCAGTTAAGTCATTTTAAATATAGCTCGTATATGTATTTAATATATTATAAATGTAGATTTGCGATATTTGTATTTATTTTTGTGAAAGTAAATTAAAAAAAAAGTTACAGGACCTACAGGCTGAAAGTATGGTAAAACTACAGTAGATTTTCACATTAAAATTGTCAAAAAAAATTTTTTAATTTTTTAGCAGTTTATATCTTCAGATCTTGTTCATCTTATTTCCGATTGAAGAAGCCATGATCTTGAAAAAGTTTTAATTCCCTTTTTCAACGCAAGATATACAATTTGAGACATGAAGGCCTCACTTAACCCTCGCCATCATAAGAAGGGGTGGTGAGGGTTTGGTGAACACCGTCAGAGCAATCCATTGTAGCTGTTCCCAATTGAGCCTCAGCCAGGTGATCCTGTTTCTGGAGCTACCGAATCGTAATCATTAAGACTATAATCCCGTGTTAGCCGTCCTGAAGCGCTTCTCAAGAATTCAGGCTGTAGTGGGAAGTTTGTGTAGGCCAAACAACCGATTTGCCATAGTCCCCGTGTACTTGGCACTAACCATTCATATGTAATTTAAAAATGCGTTTGGGACCATAGTCATATTGAAATCATATTGAAAAAAATTTGAAGTTGAAGTTCAACTTTTTTTAAAAATATGTTTACTTTAGTCAACAATTTAACAACTAACAGCCTTTTAACAATTTTAAAATTTTTCAAACTTAAAAGATAAAAAAGTAACAAATTTGGCATCTAAAACAATGTGAATGATCAAAATAAAGTTTCACACTAATCTAAGACACAATAGATTAACAAAACTATTACCCTGATCATCTAAAACAATATAGATGCCAAAAAAACTTCTGACTCTCCATTACCACTCACTTCCTTCTACACCTCAAACATTACTCATCCATGCCTTCGGTCTCGTCTTTTTGATCAACAAAGTCTTGTTTAAAGACAAACTCGTTTGTGTAGCCAAAGTTTAGTATCGTGCATCGTTTCGAGCAGGTAAAGACCATGACTGTTGCCCAATCAATCGACTGGTCAATTGAGTCCACCTCCATCAATGATATCAAATTTGGCATCAATTGTAATTCGAATTCTCGTGGAGCTGAGCACAGTTCACACGGAGGTATTGATGACGGTTTTGGGCAGTAATCACTGGCTGTTAAGGGGGCGACACCTCGGGCGTACCTAAAATGACATTTTTAATATGAAGTTTATAATTTTCTTTAACTTTTATCATAAAAATTAATATTTTATTTTAAAATTTTATTAAATCAAGTATTCCTTCACCAAATTAAGGCCCAAATCATACCTAAACACCTGTTCCGGATTATCTTGTAGTAGGTCCACAAAATACTTGTATAACTTGTCCTTCTTTTCCTCAACTTCATCCAATTCTTTCCCATCCGCACCTATGCCCTTCTCTTTCATTTCATCCACAACTTCTTTAAGTTTGTCCATTTGCATTCGTTCAAAGCCTGGTTCTTCTTGTTCATCATCTTCATCATCACTATACTCCGCTGGATCAAATTCGAATTCTTCGTATGTAGCCATTTGAATAGCGTACTCCGGGAACAGAAAAACGTTCTCTAAAGTCTTGGGAACTGAAAATAGGATAAATTAGCATTAGAACATAATTTTTAAATAAGTTATTGCTGAATTTATACCTAAATGTCAAAAAATGTTTCCCAACATAAATTCAATAAAAAATCATTGAAAACCTAATTCAACCCCTAAATCTCATCACCACAGATCCCTTACCATCCTCTCCAGAACATAAGGCCTTATGTCCACTAGTCCAGTCTAGTATCTGATGATCTCTTCCACAATACCAAGCTTTGTCACACTTTGCACATCTACTCGCAGCTTTCAAGCCACACGTAGAGCAAACCTTGTTATAAGTTTTCTCGTCATAATATGGATCTTCCGCTTCTGTATCACTTGGATTCAACCTTGATTCACTTGAATAAAACTTATTTTCTCGAGGCAACTGACATCTCAGTACCTTTATATTGGACGCATTTTGAAGCTGAAACATTTAAACATTATTTTCATATTGCTCATTACTAAATATACTAGTAAGATTTGAAAATTTGCTAAGTTTAAGAGATATAAAAAAAATCTGAAAACCTATGTTAACATCAATGTCTAAAAGCCACCAAATTTAAAAAAAAAGATTTTGACTTTAAAAATAGCTTAAACAAACTTTTTTCCAGTTTTACCTTTGAGCATTCAGGGTTCCGACACACAAAAACGTATAAATAACGATGGAAAGCTTCTTCATTGTCACTAGGATCCGTCGCATAAACTTGTATCACAAAAGCCATTGACTTTCCACAAACCTAAACATGTAAAATGATAAAAATCGCAAAACTTACATTACATAATACATCTGAAGCTTTTGGTATACATGTTGGATTGAGCCAAGAAGGTTTACCTCCAATTTTCCCGATCGGAAGGTAGATCGACTTTAGTTGAAAGCGTTTTTCCTGCTCAATTTCCTTCGGAAGACCAATGTAAACTAACTGATTTGACATTTACAATATCCTGATTAAATTTAACTCAATCTTCTTCAATATTTTGTCAAAATCCGCTCAGTTTGACGTATTTTAGGCCCTGAATAACAAAAAATAATAAAATAGCAAAAAAAATTATTTTTATTGTTTGACACTTCGTCACACTATTATCGAATATTTTTTGACTTTTAGTGGATAAAGATAAAGGCCGAAGGCATTGCTAATTGAAATTGCGGGAGCGGGAAAATTTGAATATTATTTTTGAAAATTGTTACTGAATGTAAAAATAAAGATTTGGATGTGTAAACAGATCAAATAAAGTAAGTTTTGTGTGTTTTTGTGATTATTGATGGTTTTTTTACTTAAAATTTTGTTTTTTAGGTACAAGTTGTTTTATACATATTTCAATTAATTTTAAGTTAAATTTTTGATTTTGAACATGTCATTTTAGAATGGGAGCAGGTCCGAGTTGGGGAGAGAGAGAAGAAAGACAACGTGAATGGGAAAGAGAAGAACGTCAACGACAGATTAAAGAAGAAGAAGAAAGAATTCGAGAAGAAGAAAAAGAAAGGTATGAGAAGATCAGAGAGCAGCAAAGAAAGCTGGATGAAGAGAATCAGAAAATAAATGAAGAAAGACAAAGAAGAGAACTAGAACGGTTGGAAGACATTTGGAAGAAGGAGCAAGAAGCTGAAAATGCGATAATTGCGGCCGAAATCAGGGAAAGAGTCAGAAGGAAGGAGGAAGAAGAGGCAAGTCATCTTTATATGCCACATATAATTTATATATAAAATAATGCAAAGGAGTTTAGGTAATTTGTTGTTTACCTTTAGGTAAAAATTTGTAGAGATAGTGAAGCTTTTACCGTTTTTAACTTTAAAAGATGAAAGTATATATTTTAGGCCAAAAAATCCTTTAACATGACATACGATGCATATATGGCAAAAAGAGCTCAAAAAATGGCCGAATTGGCTAAGCGTGATGAAGATAACAGAATGAACAGAATCTTGAAAGAAGCCGAAATGATGTCTGAAGCTGCTCGTGAACGAGAAGAAAAACATGTTGAAGAACAAGAGAACCAGAAGAAGGCAAATCAACACAACAAGCTGAGAAAGGAACAAAGAAGGCAGAAATTGGACGAGAAGTATGAGAAGAAGCAAGAGAAAGAAGTGGATTTGAAACTGAAGGATGATAGAAGCGTTTTGAAGGCCAAGAATGAAGCTACACACAAGGAACGTCACAAAACGATCAGCACCAGCTCTGAGAAAGATGATAAAGGTAATGGAGGTAAGGGAAAAGATGGCAAAGGGAAAGGAAAAGAAAGAAAGGTCAATGGAGGTAAAGGAAAAGATGTAAAGAATGGAAACGGAAGACAGAGAACTAATGGATGTAGTTATCAAGAAAGAATGCAACATTTGGCCGATTGGAAGCAGAGGATGACCGAAAGAACGGCTAACAAAGAAGATGAAGAGAACGTGTTGTACTAAAGTTTAGTATTGTAAGTTTATTTTGAGGTTTAAAGGTGTTAAAATTATTTGTAAATGATAAAGCGGATTCTCGTTATAGAAAACATAATATTTTACAATTTTTTAAGTTTGAATTTTAATAGATTTTGGTATTTCATAGATTTTCCTCTTTAATTTGACCTTATTTAACCACTTTTTCAGAACCTACCGGTTTACAACATCGTTTCAATGTATATATGACACGTGCATTTGTCTTGTGATTACCTAGTTCGGCAGAAAACGCCCGTCATTGTCTAAAACGGCTTTAGACAAGAATTCCGAATTTCTTGTCTGAAAAGATAGAAGAGACCATGCTCTCTCGCCGCGAAGAGAACAACGTCTTTTTTTCTCTGCGCGCTTTCAGACAAGAATTCGCTGTTTTTTGACTGACTAGCCAATCACAAAACTAATGCACGTGTCATATATCAACAATGTAAATGAACAAGTATTATATACTTACTACCCGTTTTCAACAATCTATATACCCCCGGTTTTTAATTTTTGTGATTTTTTTAAAATTTGTAATATTTGTTACTTCACTTTTTATAAATTTATTGTTATATTGTAATATTATTAATCAATATCCATATTTGTTACTTTCCTTGTTGTTATATTTACATAATAAAGTTTTATTGTTTTCTAAATTTAAGTTGGACGTTGTTGTATAAGTAAAGGGACCGCCCACTTGGGTGGATCCTAAAGGCCCGATCTGAATCGGGGAGAAGAACGTGTGAAAGTCTGGGACGCGGTCGCGCCCCTCTTGTACCTTTTATAATTGTAAGTCTGATGTTTCCCTACCTTGGGATGTACACTTTAGGTGTAAATAGATATCAATAAACTTGATAATATAAAAGATTTAGGCCATTAATTTTACTTATATGAATTCTTTTATAAAATTGTATACCTATTTACTGAATAATTCAACCTTGTTATTACACTTTATAAAACAGACAAAAAGGCAAGTTCTCTAACTGTTCTTCTAGAGAATGAACAGCATCAGTTTCTTCGGCCCGTACTGCATACTGGGTCTCATCAGTACGAAGCAGTTAGACCCACCTTACTTTAGTTATGCCTAAACTCACAACAAATAATGAAAACTTGCTACATGTAAAATAATAAAAACCACAAAACTTACATTAAATTTCACATCTGAAGCTTTTGGTATACATGTTGGATTAAGCCAATGTTTACCACCAATTTTCCTGATCGGAAGGTAGATCAACTTCAGTTGAAAGCGTTTTCCCTGTCCGATTTCATTCGGAAGACCAATGTAAACTAACTGATTTGACATTTACAATATCCTGATTAAATTTGACTCAATCTTCAATATTTTGTCAAAATCCGTTCAGTTTGGCGTTTTTTAGGCCTTGAATAACAAAAAATAGTAATTATTTTTATTTTTTGACACTTCGTAACACTATTATCGAATATTTTTGCTTTTCGTCGGTGAAGGAAATGGCCGAAAGCATCGCTAACTCAAATTGCGGGAGCGGGAAAATTTGAATATTGTTTTAGAAAATTGTTACTGAATTTTTATTGAATTCGAGTGTAAAAATAAAGATTTGGATGTGTAAACGGATCAAATAAAGTAAGTTTTGTGTGTTTTTCTGGTTTTAGATGGTTTTTACCTAAAATTTTGTTTTTTAGATATAAGTAGTTTTTATACATAGATTAATTAATTTTCATGTTAAATATTTGATTTTGAACATGTAATTTTAGCATGGGACCAGGTCCAAGTCGGGAAGAGAAAGAACGAAGACGACGGATTCAAAAAGAAGATAGAATTCGAAAGGTTTTAGAAGAAGAAAAAGAAAGATACGAGAAGATGAGAGAGCAGCAAAGAAAGTCAGCTGAACAAGAAGAAGAAAAACGTAAAAGGTTAAGAGAAGAATGGCATAGGGAAGCAGATCAGCGTCAACGAAAGGAAGATGAACGAAGACGAAAAATTCAAGAATTAGATGATAGAATTCTAATTTTTTTGAAGGAAGAAAAAGAAAGATACGAGAAGATCAGGGAGCAGCAACGAAAGTCAGCTGAACAAGAAGAAAATGAACGTAAAAGCGAAAGAGAAGAAGAACATGAATGGGAGAGAAAAGAACGGCAGAAGGAAGAAGAACGTGAAAGAGAAGAACGGCAGAGAGAGGAAGAAGAAGAACGCCAACGAAAAGAAGAAGAGGAACGTGAAAGGTTAAAAGAAGAGAGTCGACGAAAGGAAGAAGAACGTCAGAGAGAGGAAGAAGAAGAATGGCAGAGAGAAGAAGAGGAACGTGAAAGGGTAAAAGAAGAGAGTCGACGAAAGGAAGAAGAACGTCAGAGAGAGGAAGAAGAAGAATGGCAGAGAGAAGAAGAGGAACGTGAAAGGGTAAAAGAAGAGAGTCGACGAAAGGAAGAAGAACGTCAGAGAGAGGAAGAAGAAGAATGGCAGAGAGAAGAAGAGGAACGTGAAAGGGTAGAAGAACAGAGTCGACGAAAGGAAGAAGAACGGCAGAGAGAGGAAGAAGAAGAATGGCAGAGAGAAGAAGAGAGTCGACGAAAGGAAGAAGAACGGCAGAGAGAGGAAGAAGAAGAATGGCAGAGAGAAGAAGAGAGTCGACGAAAGGAAGAAGAACGTGAAAGAGAAGAACGGCAGAGAGAGGAAGAAGAAGAACGCCAACGAAAAGAAGAAGAGGAACGTGAAAGGTTAAAAGAAGAGAGTCGACGAAAGGAAGAAGAACGTCAGAGAGAGGAAGAAGAAGAATGGCAGAGAGAAGAAGAGGAACGTGAAAGGGTAAAAGAAGAGAGTCGACGAAAGGAAGAAGAACGTCAGAGAGAGGAAGAAGAAGAATGGCAGAGAGAAGAAGAGGAACGTGAAAGGGTAAAAGAAGAGAGTCGACGAAAGGAAGAAGAACGTCAGAGAGAGGAAGAAGAAGAATGGCAGAGAGAAGAAGAGGAACGTGAAAGGGTAGAAGAACAGAGTCGACGAAAGGAAGAAGAACGGCAGAGAGAGGAAGAAGAAGAATGGCAGAGAGAAGAAGAGAGTCGACGAAAGGAAGAAGAACGTGAAAGAGAAGAACGTCAGAGAGAGGAAGAAGAATGGCAGAGAGAAGAAGAGGAACGCCAACGAAATGAAGAAGAACGTGAATGGGAAAGAGAAGAACGTCAACGACAGATTAAAGAAGAAGAAGAAAGAATTCGAAAGGTTTTAGAAGAAGAAAAAGAAAGGTATGAGAAGATCAAAGAGCAGCAAAGAAAGCTTGATGAAGAGAATCGAAAAATAAATGAAGAAATACAAAGAAGAGAACTAGAACGGTTGGAAGACATTTGGAAGAAGGAGCAAGAAGTTGAAAATGCGATAATTGCGGCCGAAATCAGGGAAAGAGTCCGGAGAAGGAAGGAGGAAGAAGAGGTAAGTTATTTTTATTTGTAAACTTATAAACGAAGGGTTTTAGGTGATATTTTACTCAATTTCAGGTAAAAATTTAAATATACAAATTATGAATTTTAGGTAATACATACTTTGAGATACTTTAAATTTTCATTAGAACTCATTATTAGCTAGTTTTATTGTTAAATGTTTTCGCTTTTTGTCTTGACAACATAATATTTGTTAGATAATATCTTATCTAAGTTTTTCAGGTGCGCAACAACAACATGAATGAACATAGCCATAATGATGAGCATTATTATCGCTATGATCCGAAAAACGAGACACACGATGAATACATGGCAAGAAGAGCTGAAAAATTGGCTAAACGTGATGAAGAGAACAAAATGAATCGAATCTTGAAAGACGCCGACATGATGTCAGAAGCTGCTCGTGAACGAGATAAGAAAAGCGCGGAAGAACAGGAAAGGCAGAAGAAGATAAACCAACACAACAAGCTGAGAAAGGAACAAAAAAGACAGAAATTGGACGAGAAGCATGATAAGAAACAAGAGAAGAACGTGAATTCGAAGCTGAAGAATGATAGAAGCGTTTTGAAGGCCAAGAATGAAGCTACACACAAGGAACGTCACAAAACGATCAGCACCAGCTCTGAGAAAGATGATAAAGGTAATGGAGGTAAGGGAAAAGATGGCAAAGGGAAAGGAAAAGAAAGAAAGGTCAATGGAGGTAAAGGAAAAGATGTAAAGAATGGAAACGGAAGACAGAGAACTAATGGATGTAGTTATCAAGAAAGAATGCAACATTTGGCCGATTGGAAGCAGAGGATGGCCGAAAGAGCCGCGAACAAAGAAAATGAGGATAGCGTGTTGTTGTACTAAAGTTTACTATTGTAAGTTTATTTTGTGGTCTAAAGGTGTTAAAATTATGTGTAAGTTCTTTTAAAACTTTTGTGAATGTGAAAAGCAATTCTCGGTATAGAAAACATGTTGTTTTACAAATTTTTCGATTTTTTGTTTGAATTTTAATAGATTTTAAATATTTTATCGATTTTCCTTTTTAATTTGACCTTATTTAACTACTTTTTCAGAACCTACCGATCCACAACCTCGTTTTTATGTATATAAATATCAATGGACAAGTATTATATACTTACTACCCGTTTTCAACAATTTATATACCTCCGGTTATTTTTTTAAAACTTTCTAATATTTGTTGTTTCACTTTTTGTCAATTTATTGTTTTTTGTAATATTATTCAGGAATATTCATATTTGTTACTTTTACTGTTGTTATTTGTACATAATAAACTGTTATTGTTTTTAATCTTGATGTTGGATGTGTAAGAGTATTTTCAAGCTCATGGGTATCTGATATTTGTTACGAGGTATGGTGAAGGGGAGTTTTTTTATTGTGAATATGTAGGCGATCTTGCTTTAATTGGCCGAAGAGTGAGCTAAAACAGTTATAACTTTTCTGTTAAAGCTATTAGCATCTTGTCAATTAATTTTAAAGGTTTTTGTAACAAGAAAGGCAGGAAAATCTTGACCAAATAGAACTAGTGTTTACTTAAATCCTAAATCGGCGCTAGGAAAAATGCGGTTTTTAGACACTTGCGGATTTTGGACATTTTTTTTATTTAATTTAGTTGTAGTATGGTACTAAATGGTACTAAAGTTTAAATTGACACTGTCTTAATATTTCTTAATGTTAAATAGTACTAAATTTTTAATCGGTACTGTTTTTGTATTTTTGGTACTAAATAGTACTAAAAGCCCAAAAAGGTACTGTTATGTTAAAACCGTACCAATTCAAACTTTAGTACAATTTAGTACCATACTACAAATAAATTAACTAAAAAATAAAAAAAACTTCTTTAAAAAATCCGCAAATGTCCAAAATCCGCAAGTGTCCAAAAACCGAAGATCCGCAAGTGTCTAAAAACCGCAGATCCGCAAATGTCCAAAAACCGCATTTGTCCTAGCGCCCCTAAATCATTTATTTTCAGGCTAAAATGCCATACTTTTTCGTATCTAATGTAAAATTCAACAACGACTTGCCCAAACCATATTATCAAACTGACGATGTTGAATACGATGAAGAAGAGGACGAAAATGCGAAAAAGGAACTCATCAACTATTGGCAATATCACGGATTAACAGAGCGACAAGCCGAAGAGAAATGGCGAGAACGGCGGAGACAACGTCGGGAACTTAAGCAAGAACGGAAGAAGCCATTGAAGGCCGTGAATCACGATGATTTGGAAAAACATATAGTATTTAAGGTAAAGGACGATAAGCATTGTGTTAATGGAAGATTGGCACCAATCATAGAGGATGGAGAAGGTGAAGATCGAAGTTCATGGGTTTGGCCTTCGGAATGTGACAGAATGAGTGTTGGGGAGGTGCTGGATAATGGACAGGTATGGTGTTTTGAATTTTAGGTAATTTATTTAGCTTTTGTTGAATTTTCTACTAATTTTTTGATCTTTTTTTTGTTTTATTTTTCTATTTTTTTTAGAGATTTTCATTAATTTTTCTCAATTTTTAGAATATTTTAAATGTATTTTTGACATTATTCAAACTTCAGGCTCTTCTAGTAATCAAACGACCTAAACTTTCGGCCCAACGCGAAAAAGAAGTTGGAGCATGGGCTAAGTATAAATATGAACTGGAATTGGCAGAGCGACGAAACCACTATGATGATTATTATTTCGAAAAGGGAGGAGATCAAGGACAATCTGAAGAAGATGGGTCGAAAAAGAAAAAGGGGATATTCAAGAGGTTCGACAAGGAGAATGTCAGCTTCTTCACCATGTTATTTTGTCATTGGTGCTACTAATGTTATATCATGAAATTTACAAATTTTAATAAAGAATATGTTGTTTCTACCGAGTTTTCTTGGTTTACAGGGGCTTGAATGCCATTATTGCTTGTTTTTTGATTTTTTTATGCAATTTTAGACAGCTTATCAGCTATCTTTGATACTTATGTGCTTTGTTATAGAGAAAGCATGAATGTTGAGGAATATCAACGGCATCTGCTGCTACAATATCAACGTCAACAAGAAAGAGATGAAGCGTTGAGGAAATATAAACAAAAAGAAGGACTGACAGAAGAAGAAATAGAACTAATCAAAGCCTATTGGCACGAAAACCGGATTCGAAGACTAGAAAGAAAAGCCAGAATAATCGACGTACAAAATCAGAATCTGGAACAAGAAGCGAAACAACAAAAAGCAGAAGAGTATCAAGGGAAATTGAAGAAAAATAAGGAACGTTACATGAAAGAAGGTTGGGATAGAGGTACCAAAATCTTAGAAAAAAAATGGAGATCAATGAAAAAATATCGTCGAGAGTTGAAAGAAACTGATGAAAAGGAGATCAAAAATCAAATTGAGTTCAGAAGAAGTAGAGTTGAACGTATTAAACAAAGACGTTATCGAAGATACATCTACGGAAAACGGAAGGCAATGAAGAAGGAGATGGAGTTCAGGAAGAGGTTGAGAGAAGATGAAAAGGCAATACAAGCTAAAATCAGATTTTCAAAACTGTTAAAGGAATTTTATAGAGATGAAAGAAAAAAGCAAGTTGAACATGGTCGATTGAAAGAAGAAGAGGAACATAACAGAGCGATAGAAGCTGGAAATGATCAGTTAAATGAAGAAAAGCGTCGTAAAGAAGAAGAAGAACGTGACAGAAGAGAAGAATCTTTCACTGAAGCCGATAATGGTCGATTGGGAAAGAAGAAAATTCAAAAATCAAAGAAAAAGCGTAGAAAAGACGATGAACAACAAGGAGAACGTTCGAAGAAAGAAGAAAGACGTTCGAAAAAAGCGAAAGCAGAAGAAAAGAAAGAAAAACGCTCCAAGAAAGCAGAAGAACGTTGCAAGAAACCAGAAGAACAGAATAAAGAAGAACATGTCAAGTTATCACAAGATTTTGATCAACTCAAAACTGAATATTTCGATTTACTACGAGAACATTGTCGAATGATGAAAGATAAGTTCAAATTGAAAGAGGAAGACTTTTTGTTCGATGAAGAATATATTCGTGTACAACAAGAAAACTGCCATCTGAAGGAGAAGAATTGGGAATTGAAGGAGAAACTTCGCAGAACTGAACGAATCGCTTCGAAAAACTTGACCAGGGAGTTTTGGAAAATGAGGCTTTGAGGTGTTAATGGAGCTTTACCTTGAATGAACGTTGAAGAATTATCGTATAACCCATTTGAATATCAAAACGTAACCTGACGATCTCATATAATGATGCTTATGTAAATAATCTAATGTTAAAATGTTTTGCTGCTTCTTTTGTGTACATAATAAACTCATATTTTGTTCAGTTCATCAGTATATAGGGTTAGAGAACGGATAATTAGAATTAAGGAATCTACTGATGTAAAAGCTATATCTTTCAATTGTTACTCGCACCTCCTTACCTGTCCCTTGTCTGCCCACTAGGTTGGCTGAAACTATACTTGCATTTAGCTATTGACACTTTATTACCTAAACGGATAAACAAAACAATAATCTATTTTTCTTGTTGTTCCAATCGGATCAGCTCCTTCACACCATCGTACATTTGTTTGACGGCTTCGTACTCGGACAGGCCGAGTCGGGCCTTGTTGGAGATGTCGTAGACACCGCCTTCGGATTCCGAATGTTCACCATGAATGCCACGGACTTGGAGGTTGAGCTTTTCGCAAATCTCTTTGAAGTCCTTCTTGGCCGCCAGCTTCGGGAGTTGGATGTGGACGGAGGCGCGGACAGTGGAGCCGAGGTTGGTGGGGCAGAAGGTGAGCCAGCCGAGGCGTTCGTGGCGGGCGAATGGGACGCCTTTTTCGATCGACTGAAATTATATTGTTTTAGTGATTAATGTCGCCAAATGTAGATACTATCCTACCTATAGCATTAATTAATAAAATAGGTAACAAATTTATCAAAAATAGCCAAAATCAAAGATTTCCAACCTAATGCCAACCCTTACCTTGATTCCTCTGATTAGTCGGTCTAAAACATTGCCAACATCACTGCCGTTCTCCATCGAAATGATTCGCATGTGATCTTCCTCATTCACCCAGATCAAGAAGTTCTTTTCGTTGTTGTGGAAGATTCCTCTGCCCTGCAAATGTTTCATATTGAAATATAATGACGTAGGTTTAAAAACGACACATTTCTTTACATATTTTCCTATTTTATCACTTATAATGCCCAAATTTTTAAAGTTTATACCTAACTTTAATCAAATTTCGAACTTTTTGTAGTTTTTTATGTAAAATTTTTTTAAATTTTGCCACTTTTGCCTTCAATTCATTATTTTTTATATCCCCAACACATAACCCGTCATATGACACTTCTTTTTAATACCTAAAATCGTAATTTTCAAAAATTTTCCAATGTATTACCTTAGGCCAGAAGTTGCACGCGTTGGCATGTTGTAGATGACGGTCGCCTTCCTTGAATAGGAAGTGATCCTTAATCAGTTGATTCTGTGTTTCTTTACTCATACCATCCAGAGGGTAGTAAGTTCCTTTCAAATCTGCGTCCTTTACATTGCTCAAAGCCTTCTTCACCTTCTCCTGCATAATAAGGTAGTCATCTGGAGACAACAGTGGGTTAAATGGGTATCCCTTTAAAGATCGGCCACAGCGGATTCTGAAAAAATAAGGAATTATAATTTTTTCGTATAAAGTATCAATATAGATCTCAAAATCAATCATGAATTAGACTTTTTATGTTAACCATCATTCTTTTACCAAGAACGACAAAAAACGTAATTTTATATTGAACCATACCTAAATTCCAAACAGAACAACAAGCTCTTACCTCGTTGACTTGATGTACTTGCCGTCAGGGTCCAAAGCCGGGAAGTCTTTGGTTTTTCCCTCACCCAAGTCCACAGCCGGCTGTCTATCACTAGGACTGAACCCATGATAATCCTCAATAATCTTGTCAAACAATGGAGCAAACACCTTATAACTCTCGGTGTCTGGAGCATACACACCAACGCCAGCATCTAGGTTGTGAACACCCGATCGAATCACATCCATCAATGTGGCACCCAGTTTTGTTTTCTTGTACTTGAGCTGATCAACAATATCTTTGGTCAAGTGTTTTTTGAGCAAAGACTTCGAATCGGATTCTTCCAACTTCTTGAATGCCTCTTCAATCCGTCTTACGTCGATCATGTTATTTTCATCGGTTTGGGTATTAATTTTGACCATCTCGCGGGTCTGAAAAAGTGCCATAAATAACATTAATATTTTAGATACGAAAAACCTATTATTACAGCTAAAGCAAACTTAAAACTCATATGCAGTGTTTTGCCGGACCGGTCCGGATGAGAATTTTTTCGGCCCGGTCCGGTCCGAAAAATTTTCGGTCCGGTCCGGCTCTATTTTTTTTTCGCTCAGGTCCAGTCCGGACCAAAAAGGGACCGGTCCGGAACTTTTTTTTCGGTCCGGTCCGGACCGGACGGGTCCGGCAAAACACTGCTCATATGTATTCCAGTTATACCAAAAAAGTAAACATTAACCATAATAAACAGTACTAATAAAGTTGCAGATCAAAATATGAAGTCATATCGACCTGATCTGATGTGTAAGATAAAATAATCTGTACTGTTCCAGAAACAAAATTAATTCTATAAAAAGTCGTATTTTTACACTCCCCAGTATCAATTTAGTATTAAACAACTAAAGACTAAAAGTTTTACTATTAATTTTTAGAGTTATACATCAAATCTTAAGTTATGCCAATCTGATGTGTAAGATAAATTTAAAAAAATATAACCCAAAATGCCTTAAAATACTAATATATTAAGTTTCAAAGCAAAATTAAAGTCTTTTTTAACTTTTAAATCCGTGTGGCTTAATTTGTCTTTCACATGGCTAATAACCAGTAATTTACATCAACCATGTACATCAACGCCAGAAAATTGTATTTTTTCGTAAAAACTTCTTTGAAAACAATCTAAAACGTTTTACAACTACCGTCTTCAAATGTATTAACGCAGATCTGCTTCCATCAAACACCTAAACTCAAAATCAAACAAAAAAGCAAGAAACCTACATATTTGTAAGAGTAAACGCCAACTCCAGTACCCACAGCAGCAACAATACCAACTCCTATCTTTTTGGCCAACGACATTTTCGGTTGACAACTTGAAACAAGTCGATCTACAAACCTATAAAGGCCAACCGATGGAGAATATCAAGATCTTTTTCAAAGAAAAAAGAATTTAATTTCTCCAACCTGCGCCCATTTTCTGTTATTTTTCGCAGACTGCAAGCTCTTTTTATACGAAAAAAAAGTCAATCAGATCAACTAAAATCAACCAAAAATTGTTTGTTTATACACTTTTTGGTATTGAAAATGGAATTGAAACAATGTTTACATCAAAGCCGATTTTTTTTCTGATTTTTACTAGTGATATGATACGATAATGTCAAAGCTCGAGGCTTCCAAAGCTCGTTTATTCACTAAATTTATAGTTTTCGCTCAATTTGTCAACTTTTTACTGATTTTTGGAGTGTATCTTCATGCTTACAACAATTTACAGGTAATTTTGGGTTTTTAACGCATAAATATAGCATTTTAATTTAAAGTTCACAGCTTTTTTTTATTTAAAAACAATTTTGCAAAGTGTTACCTAAAATATTGAAATTAGGTTTTTTGGGTAAAAATTGATTATTATGATGTTTTATAAGATTAAAAGGGTTTGTCATGTTAAAACGCATCAAAAAACGAGTTTTTGATAATTTTGTTACCTAAAAATATTTTTTGGAAATTTTGAAGTTTCACTTTAAAATTTTTAAAACGACTTTTTAAAACACTGAAAACTAATTTAAAATAAAAAGTCTTTACTTTTAGAGTTCAAAATGTCAAAAATCTTCAGCACGACCAAAGCGTGCTACAGAGTACGTTGAAGACTCAAAACCGGTCGATTCATTGAACGAATGGGCGATATTGATAGGAGAACAGACGATAATACCTAAACATGTCTTTGAACTATCATGTAAACGTGTTCACCGTTACTGTTCCGACCGGTCGATGAAGTTACAAGGCTTTCGAGGTCCTCCAGGCCCTACTGGAGGTCGTGGTCCTATAGGACCACCTGGTCGACGTGGTCCCACTGGTTCTATTGGTCCGCTTGGGTTGGTGGGAGATGCTGGTGAAGTTGGACCACCTGGTCGTGATGGTAAATGTAATTGCACCTTTCCTGAGCTCTACGTGCAGAGGATTGCGGTACCAGGACCACCTATAATTCAAGTTCAAGAGAAGGTGGTACCAGTACCAGTGGTGGTTGTAAATGAGGTCGAGGTGACAAAGCTTGTACCATTTGAACCAACTCCGCCCGGGTTTGGCCCACCTGAAGATTGGGAGCCGGGAATGCCGATGCCAGATAAGTCTAACACTCGTATTCTGGTGAAGCCGACCACACCGTCACCGTATGGGCCGACAAGGAAGAAGTTGATTGGACCGGGAAGGAAGCGGCCAAGGCCTACCAAGTATCCTACGACTCCAACTGTAGATGAAGGTAAAGCTTTAAATATATTGTTATAGTCTACTATACAATATAACTAGTAGCTATAGTCTACTATAACATAACTTGTAGGTATCCAGCTACTGAATGAAAGTATGGCGTTGAATGAGACAATCTTTAACGAGACTTCTACTGAACCCACTCCAGAGACCTATACTGGACTACCTACACTGGGCTATAATCGTCGAGGTAATGTTTGCTTTTGGCATATGTTACAGTAATCTGAAGGGAAGAAGTTACGGTAATCTTAGAGACAGAACTTACATTAATTTAGGGGACAGAAGTTACTGTAATCTAAAAAGCAGAAGTTTCAGTAATACAGTAGGCAGTAGCTACATTAATCTAAGAGGCAGCAGTTACAGTAATCTGAAGGGCATAATTTACAGTTATGCGAGTGGCAGAAGTTACATTAATTTAAGACAGAGAAGTTATAGTAATTTAAATAGCAAAAGTTACAGTAATCGAAAAGACAAAAGTTGCAGTAATCTGAGGGGCAGAAGTACAGCAATCTAAGTGAGAGAAGTAACAGTACTCCAAGAGACAAAAGTTACAGTAAACTAACATTTACAAAGTAATTTAGAATGTCGTTTGAACGCCGTAGGAATCCCAGTACTACATGCAGAAAGTCAGTACGGTAAGGTCGGCAGTTGGCATCGTGATGTGAATCCAACGTCGCCACTGATGGAGAAGAAGCGATGGGTTACAGATGAGTATGCATCGCCCGTATTGTATGAGTACGTCACTGAAGAAGAGTTGATGAACAAGAAACAGAAAATTAAGTAAGTAAAGAGTTATTGTGTAGTAGTTTACGATATGTTAATGTATAGTAGCTGATGGTATGTTATTGTGTAGTACTTGATGATATGTTGCTGTATAGTAGGTGATGGTATGTTATTGTGTAGTACTTCATGGTATGTTACTGTGTATTGGTGATATGTTAATTTGTAGTGTTTGATGGTATGTTGCTGTGTAGTACTTGACGGTATGTTACTGTATGGTACGTGGTGATATGTTACTGTGTAATACATGACAATAAGGTCGAAGAAAGGCCTTTATAAACTTTTCAAACCAAAAAAGGTGTCAGTAAAACTTTATTTTCTTCATATCAACAAAAAATGTTGTTGTAGGTACTATGTGGATTATATGGCCGCAGGAACAGGTAATATGATCTACAATGGATCATATTATTATCATCGACATGGATCCGACTTTCTGGTCAGATACAACTTGGAGAATGCCGAACAGATACAAAGTCGAGAGCTGGGCAAGATCGCTTCATTGGATTGTGGCCGAAAGGTGGATCACACGTTTGAGGTAGGTAATGTTGTATTGTAAGTTTCTGTTTTATACTCCAGACGATCTTTTGGTGAAGGTAACGTAAGGTAGGGATGGGCCGTAAAGTCTAGGGTAAAGTAAGATAAGGTAGGGAATGGTACGGCGGGCAGGGTAATTTAGGTCAGAGCATCGTAATGTAGGATGGAGCAAGATATGTTTTATTTGGGTTTATAGGACGGGTTTTAGGGTAAATTAAGGCAGGGTATGGTATGGCCGAGTCTGTTATGGTACGATGTAGCAAGGTAGATTGGTATAAGGTAGGGTAGGGTGGGGTAAGGTAGGGTATGATAGGGTAGGGTAGGGTAAGGCGGGGTAGGTAAGATAAGATAAGGTAAGGTAGGTTAGGATAGGGTAGAGAAGAAGAAATATGGTAGGGTAGCGTAATTTATGGTAGGGCGGGAATGGCCGGTTAGAGTAATGTAAAAACCGTAAACTGTATTAGGGTAGATGATGATAGTAATAATGTTAAGGTAAAGTAGAGCAACAAAACCTAGGAAAGGTAGGGAAGATTATTTAAAAACTGGTAGGAAAACGTAAAATACGACTTGTATTGTTTTCTATTTTGAAATTACAACTTCTTCAAGATGTGCAATGAAACTGACCGTGATTTTTGGTTGTACGATCGTCCCCACAATTATATTGACTACGCGGCCGATGAGAATGGACTATGGGTATTGTATATGCGACCAGACAATGCGCATTTGGTGGTCAGCAAAATTGAACCGGTAAGATGGTTTTCATCACTACATGAATATATACAGTGTTATAATGAGGTATATACTGCTTCTATCTTGATGTTTTTGCTTGTATTTCCTGAATCTTGATGTTTCTAGGACTTTTACGTAGTCCAAACCTGGGAATTGGATGTGAATGGCACTGAACTGGCCGATGCTTTCATCATGTGTGGTGTTCTATATGGACTGGAGAGCTCGGAAGACAGAGATACATTCATATCATACGCTTTTGATCTTTATGCGTAGGTTTTTTTGGATTTTTTAGTTTTAAGGAAGTTAGGGTATGGTAATGATAAGGTAAAAATTTGTTAAAGAGCATGATAGGGTATGGGGATATAAAGTAGGGTAAGGTAGGTACGGTAAGATAAGGTAGGGGGATATGAAGTATGGTAGGGTAGGGTAGGGTAGGGTAGGGTAGGGTAGGGTAGGGTAGGGTAGGGTAGGGTAGGGTAGGGTAGGGTAGGGTAGGGTAGGGTAGGGTAGGGTACGGTAGGGTAGGGTAGGGTAGGGAAGGGTAGGGTAGGGTAGGGTAGGGTAGGGTAGGGAAGGGTAGGGTAGGGTAAGGTAAGGTATATTAAAATAAGATAGGGGAGGGTACGATAGGGTAGGATAATTTCGCCTCACCAGAAGCAATCATTTTTTATTTACAGTAACCAAACTCTGGACGTAGACATACCATGGTATAACCCATACCGTGGTCTGACTATGTTACACTACAATCCAATTGATGGTAGATTGTATTTCTTCGATTCCGGCAAGTTACTGAGTGTAAATGTTCGTATCGAAGCCGCAGAATACGATGAAGAAGATATTGTAGTAGAGGATGAGTAATATAAAAATGATTTTTTGGTTGAAAATTTTGAATAAATAACTTTTGGGTACTGTAATGTCGTTTTATATATTTAGATCAATTTTTTAAATTTGATTTTATACCTAAAATATTTAATTTTTTTCAAATTTATACCTAAAATCTGCCTTATATTTGCTGTTTTATGTCAAAAAACAGAAGTTCGACCGAATGACCCGGCAAATCTGGGCTGATCCCGAAACCTAATCGGTGGTTATATGGAGCTTCAATTGGGGTATCGCGTTACGCCATTATTCCCTTTTTTTTGTCAAAACTTTCCATTCGATCTGATTCGATAACAACATTCAAATGACATTATCTGATCTACCACAATGGACTAGGAGAGTTATGGGCCGAGACTGGTTTTTGAAAATAATAGCTGTCGGCCGAGACTGATTTTGGAAAAGACTAGCTAATGGCCGAGACTAGGCTTGAAAGGGTTCACACTAGGCTCGGCCTCGGGTAGACGTGAGGAACGGGCCGGGCCTGAGCAATGTTTTAGGGCCGGGCCGAAAATTCATGCCCCGCTCGTCCCCATGTATAGCCTCGGGCAGGGTCATGCTAAAACAAACTTGAAGGAAGCTGGCACATGTAGGCTTGAGAGCCTGCATTTAAATCAAGGTCCGGCTTGTGGATCGAGCTGAAAGATTGGTCGCGGCTAGGCCTCTTTACTGGTTTAGCCGAGACTGATTTCGGAAAAACTGGCTTGGGTCTGGTCTAGTGGGAATTTGTTACGGCCTAGCTGATTCTGGTTTTTAAAAAACTGAGCTAATGGCCGAGACTACGCCTGAAAAAAGGCCAACAAAGCCATGCTCGGACCAAATCGATAAATATGAGAGGTGTCGGGCTGAAAAAAGTGAGCCCGGCTGGGCGTTTATACAGGTTTTGCCAAAGTTGATTTTGAAAAGCATGCCGGTTTAAAAAATGGGCCCGGCTTGAAAAGGCAATGATAAATTTGAAGCCAAACCAAGACTATAAATTAGAGTAGAGAGGACAAATATAAAAATAAATGAACTAACGTTGTTGATAATACCTTCATTTTAAAAGGGGTAAAATACGATGAACGTATGAATCTGGGAATAGATGAAATTTTTCAATAACAACTTTAGAATAAAGTTTAAAACTTTTTAAACATATTTTAGGCTTACTAATATGTTATGGCAAAATTAAAAAATTTTTTTTTTAAATTTAAAATTTTTTTGAATTTTAGAAATTTTTTAAAAATTTTAAAAATAATCAAATTTTAATGTTTTTAAACTTGCTAATTGTGATTTATTATTTTTAAAATAATAATTCTCCCACAAATATGATTCGAGTTGTCCTCGTAGACAAACTTATTGTAGCCGTTAATCTCGAAATAAACAAACCTCATTTGGCGTCCGCGAGAATCGAGAACCAAAAGTTTTTGGGAAGCGAAAACAAAGTCAGGCCACGGTCTGTTACCGTATCCTTCAGGAGAAGCGGCAGAGGCAATAATATTCGAAATTTGAAAAAAAAATGAAAAAATTGAAGAAAATTTGAGTATGACACAGTACGAGCAAAGCATGAAACAGGTTGAGAAGTAAGAGTAGGGTAGGTACAGTAGAGTAGTAGGACAGAGTAGAGGATAGAGTAAGGTAAGGCAGGCCAGAGTACGGCACGACAACGCGAGAAAGGGCAGCTCAGAGACAGGAAGGTAAGGTAGGGCTAGACATGGGGAATGGGCCTGACCGGACTCATTTTTCAGGCCCGGCCCGACCTAAATTTAAGTCAAGGTTATCTTGCCCCGTTTCTTATGAATAGGCGAGGCAGGGCTCAGCACGGCAGGGCAGATCACAACAGGGGAGGGCAAGGCAAGGCAGGGCACAGCAATTCGACGCAAGGCAAGGCAAAGCAGTGGTTTTGCTATAACAAGATGTTTTGATAGCAATCTTTATTTAAAACAAGATTTTACTGTACAGTAAAAGTCCAAAAACTCATTCACAATACATTACAAAGCCCTACGAGTACATTAGTACAATATCAAATTGTCATGTTACGAATCAATCGTGGAAATGTTATCAAATTACTGAAAAACACCCCATCTCTTTCCTGATTGGCCATTCACTTCCCCGACGCTCCGCCTCCTTTCGATACAAAACCTTTGGCCACGAGTCTCGAACTTCACTCTCGACCTAAATAAGTCAAGTACCGATTTGAATACACCCATCAGCGCGTGGTCGTCTACTATGGAGCAGGGATTGTAAGTTTATTTCGTTATATACCAGTTAAGTGTTTACATTTTTTGTGTTGATTTTGGTCGTTATAAACAGTTTACATTTTGTAAACATTTTTCTGGTTATTTCGTGCAGTAAACGTTTTCAGGGGGGATGGAATGGGGCTGGGTGGTATTTTGGGGTAGTACTAAAATTTTGAATATTAATTTTTAAGAGGGAGGCAGGGGGGGGGGAGAGGGAGTGATAAAGGGAAAATAAGTGGGGGGGGGGTGGAAGTAGAAAATAAAAAAATTTTTTTTGTTTGGTGTTTAAAATTTTTTTTTATTTTTTTTTAAATTTGAGCCGGAGGGTTAACCACTATTTTAAAAAAAATTGTGTTGCAATTTTTTGCCGTCTCCCCCCCCTCCCCACCCTCTAGAAGTATCTTTATCTCCCCCTCCCTACCCTCTAGAAGTAGCTTTATCTTCCCCCCCCTTCTTCACCCTCTCCTCCCTACATTATTACGTTGAACTTTCTACCCCACCCTGACCTCTCTTGCTTACACTTTTTTAAATTCAACCTTCTATACAAAAACTTTCTTTCCAGCAACGTGAAAATCGAGTTGCCCGAGCTCCAGTCGGACCTCCTCAACCCACAACACATTCTACCCTACTCTTGTTATGTGCCCCATTACAGCGAGGTGTTCGAGGAGAAGGCGACCTCACCAGCCTTATCGACCACTTCCAAGAAAGAGAATGGCGAAAAGGAGGCCAAGAAGAGTTCGAGTGGCCAGAAGCGACGGAGTCGACGAGCTGAAAATCGACTGGAAAAACCACCACATTCCTATATTCAACTGATTGCGGCTGCGATTGACGTAAGTTAGATTGACAGAAACTTTTTTTACAATTGGTAAAATGGCAAGAACTTTCTTTACAATACGTAAAATGGCAAAAACTTTCTTTACAATACATAAAATGGCAAGAACTTTCTTTACAACGCAAAAAACGGCAAGAACTTTCTATACAACGCAAAAAATGGCAAGGACTTTCTTTACAAAACATAAAATGGCAAGAACTTTCTTTAAAATACGTAAAGTGGCAAAAACTTTCTTCCCAATACATAAAACGGCAAGAACATTTTATAACATAACTTTTTGAAAATTTACCAACTATTGTATTCTTCTATTATAAACCTCCAGAAAGTAGCATTTTTTTATTTACCAAGTCAAAGCTTCTTTTATCGACTGGTTTTTACGGAATAATAGGGTTTATTAGAAGAAACGGTTGTCGACTTTAGCAGGCTGTTTCTTATAACAGGGTTGTAGATTACAAAAGTTGTTAGTTGTTTTTTGTAAAGCATAACATGGTGTATGTTCTTTATCAAATTATGTTAAAATATGTCGTTTTTGAAGAGAGTTACAGCTAATCAAAAGTAACGAAACTACAATTTCCGTAAAGGAATAGAACCCTTTTTGTTTTTTGATATTTTTAAACTACTGTAACTTTGTTAAAAATTAAGATATGAATTTTCAATTTTAACAATAGATACACTATTTTATGCTTTTTAAAACGTATGAACTAGAATTTTTAAGTTAGTTCAAAAAATTTCAAAAACGGTTAATAAATTGAATATACTTTAGAACCAACCTACTCGCCGTGCCACATTGGCCGAAATCTACGACTACTTGATGGCTCGTTTCGAATTTTTTCGTGGTAAATATACTGGTTGGAAGAATTCGATTCGTCACAATCTGTCACTAAACCAATGTTTTACCAAAGTGCCAAAAACTGCGGGCGCAAAGTGCGGCAAGGGCCATTACTGGACCATTGCACCACATGCTGACTTCTCGTATGGTGCTCCACAGAACCTGAATATGACCAAGAAAGAGGGTGAAGATGAGAAATTGGCCGAATTTGCTGAGAATATGACATTCGGAGAGTTTGGCGGAGAGAAGGTGGACTTGATGGATAATATCGGGCCTGTTGATGAGGGTTACGGTAGTAGTACGGTAAGTGAAAAAATTAAAGGAAACATTTTTTTATTTTATTTGGAAGACGTATTTTAACATGGTTATATGGATAAATATAGATTTGGGATACATATTTGAAATCTTAATGCAGAATGCCAATTTCGTGTTGGGACCTAAAACATTTTGAAAAAACCTTTAAAATTAGTGTCAAGATTGAAGCTATTCCTTTATAAAATCACACAAAAGTCAATTATCTGCTCTATCAACTAATAATTTTTTAGTTTTTAAAATTAAAAGAGTAATATCTTTAAATTTTTAAAAATGTTGCCGCTTTTAGCTACAAAATCTAAAATTTGAAATTAAAAAACAAAATAAATAGATCTCAAAACCTTTGTCAATGTCCTTTTAATGTTGCGATAAATTGAAATGTCAATAAATTTCAACGTTTCAGACGAAAATTCAATGTTTTTCTTTCCGCGACACTAAATTTAGCGCATTTTCGGCCATAAATCGCGTCAAAAGTCTATAAATTTGGCAACAAAGTTGGAAAGAAAAACTTTGAACTTTATGTATTCGAATTGAAATTGATAAAATTTAATTGTATTGACTAAATATGCTTAAAAATACTGTAAATTTTAGTTTTTTGGACTATAAAAGGGCAAATTTAAAGGTTTTATCGTATGAGATGTCTTTCGAAAAATAGGACTGATTATAAAATGATGAAACAGAAAGTCAGGTTCTCCCAAATTTAAATTTTGGTATTTTTTTGTCGCCAGTATATTGTACTTTATGGTATTTCAAAGTAAAGGAGAAAAACATGTTTCATCGTATAACATGTCTTCAAAATGTTTATATTAAAAACATGTTTAAATTAAAAATAAGAATTAAAATACATCAGTCGTATTTTACAATAATTCCCTATTTTTTTAGATCAACACCACAGTATTCCCACAACCATACGATACCACCATACCAACCGAGCCAGTCTACAGTTACTGCCAGCCAGAAGCCGATACCCACTGGAATAACAACCAGTTCTGGTATAATCCCAACTATGTATCTCTTGAATTTCCAGCCACATCACATAACCCAATGCACGATCTGAACCAAGAGTTTGAGGCTGTCAATGCGGACCAACAGTACCATTTACAATCGGAGGACTTTGCCCAACAAAATGTACAGTACCTTCCGCATTACAATGAATTCATGTTGCCTGGGTATACGGTAGCACCGAAAAACTGTGATCAAGTTTTTGAGCCGGTAGCCGAATGTCATGATGACATATTTTCTGGACAAATGCCTGAAGGCGAACTTCCGGTTTTTAATAGTAATGTCGAGTTTCCATCGTATTCTACGTAGGAACAGGACTGTAGAAGAAGATTTTATAATTTTTTTGTAAACTTTCTCAATTTTTTAAAAATTTTTTCATTTTGGTGCTATATTAAAAAATTTGCTGGAAAGTTTGCACGGTGCAGTTAAATATTTAAAATTTTATTTTTGCCATTTTAAAATGCAATTTCAAAAAATTGTACTTTGAATGTAGATAGTATTGTTACATAAAAAAGTGATAGCTTATAAATTTTAAAATTTTCAATTTGAAAATTCATTCAATTTTAAAAATGAAAATTTAGGGTGCACCGTGCAAAATCAAAAGTAAATTTTATTTAAATAATTCAGTGCAATTTATTTCAAATTTTATTTTTTATTTTTGTATGTTAACATTAGTCATAAAGTTTTTTGAAAGATCCCTATACCATTTTGCATCTTCTATTATAGTATTATGCATATTATGTATGATATTAACTTTTTCTTTAAATCTATTGCCTGTAATATATTTTTTGATATATTAATTTGAATAAAAAATGATTATCAAAACATTGTTTTTGCGTTTTGAATTTATTACGAGCCCTTGGCTTTAGTCAAAGCCTAACCAGTAATCCTCAGGCCATAACCTATCCTACCTTATCAAAAAAAATTTTAAAAATTTAAATTTTTCTTATTTCTCAAATTCGAAAAAACTTCATTTCAAACTCTGTAAAACCAAAATTTCCCAAATTATTCAAATTTCATTCACCAATCCTATCAGAAATAGTCATTCGCTTTGGGTGTTGAAATCGAACGCGGTCGAGAATGGCCGAACTTCTGAAGGGCGCGCCATTATTTCGCAACAATCCTGATGGTCCAGCACAAGCTGCAACATCAGATCAGCTCAACAAGAAGGTGGTGTGCCTGTTTTTTGGTGCCAAAGAAGCCGGAAAGGAGTTGAATGACAAACTGAAGGCCTTTTACGACAAAACGGCGTCTCAGGGCTTTGAGGTAAGGGTTTTAGGTTTTAATTTGAAGGAAATAAGTCGTAAAATAAATAAAGGTTTATTTTTTAACTAGGAAGCCTTATTTATTGTTAATCGGTGCCATTTCCAGCCATTTTTTTCGTCTTTTTATTAACTTTGCAGGCTGCGAAAAAATAACAGAAAGGGCGCGAAGTGCGGCGACTTTTGCTTGATAGACATGAGCAACGGGCCGGGCCGGGCCCAATTTCCAAGCCCGGCCCGGCCCGATCAGAAAATTTCTAGGCCCGGCCCGGCCCGTTTTAAAAAATTTTTAAAATTTTAAAACTTAAAAACTAAACGGAAATTTGCCTTTAAATTGTTTTTTTAGGTCATTTATGGATCATAGAATCCAATAAAATCGAAAAACATAAACGGGAATTAAAATAAAAAATTTTAAAAAATTAAAAAATTTTCTTTTCGGGCCCGGGCCCAATTTTCAAGCCTGGCCCGTTTTCGATTTTGCTCAGGCCCGGCCCGTTGCTCATGTCTAGCTTGATTTTCAGCTATTTTTTAGCCGCAGAATGGTCCAGATAAGGTAGAACAACATGTTCTTGATAGTATTTCATAGTTTCCCAATTGACTTTTAGTTTGTTAGCCAAAACGGTGTTATTTCGACAATAATTTGATCAATTTCAGGTGGTGTACGTATCTCACGACAACAATGAAAGCGAAATGAAAGAATTCCTCAAAACCCATCCGAAGTGGCTGTTCATCAAGTATGGAGATCATCGTGCAATGTAAGTTTTTTTATTTGGATTGAATTTAGGGGTGACGACAATAAGGACGGACTTTGATTTTGGCGGTTAATTGATGTTATGGTTGATATGTTTTACTTCTAACTCGAAATTTAGGATGAATTTAACAGTTTTTACAAAATTAATTTTGACTATGATCTTATACATCTTTTAAGTTAGCATTTGTTATGTTTAGGGCTAGAAAAGAAACGAAAACATAAAGATATTATTTTAGATGGCCAGATTGATGGTTAATATTTTTGTTGCAGCTTCAACTTTTAGCTGATTTTTGTGTGATTTTTTTAGTATACGGTTTAATTACTGTTTTTTTTATATTATGGGCTTGATTAAGATTAATTTCGTTGTTGTTTCAGCTCGTTATTGCAAAGATACCAGCTGAAGGCCATTCCATCGCTGATTTTGGTCCAAAGAGGTGGAACTCCGCTTGTTGGTGATGCGTTGAATGACATTTATGTAAGTAACTGTTTTATTTTGTAATTTGAGGTAATGCTGCAAAGATTTTGAGTCATTTTAAGAAAGGTATTTATAATTTAGGTAAAAAGTTTTAAATTTATAAAATTTAGGTATTAAAACGAGGTTATCTGCTTTTTATATATAAAATTGAAGCTTTTTATGTTTAAAAATGTAAACTTTCTACTAATGATCTTTTCAGTACAACAAAGACCCTCATACACTTTTCGACAAATGGCGCAAAGCTACGACCGAGTGATCAAACATGCTCAATGATACCGTTCAAAGTGTTTTATGCTTCAAAAAAGACAATAAATTCTTGTTTTTTAATATTTGTGCATTTTATTTTACATGGTTTTGGTTATCATTTGAATATTTTAATTTTATTTGGTATTTTTAATGTTATCTTTGTTTTTTATTTGAAGTTTTTTAAAAGTTTTGAAGTTTGAGGAAGGTTTATCGAAAATTAGTGATGAATTTAGAGCTCTGGCGAATACTTTATGATCAGATATTACGTAGCGATCATAGTCTATGACCTTTGTGTGATTGGAGAGACATCTCTTAAGAATTACGTTAAGCTTTTGGATCGTATTTTTAGTTTATGTCGCGTTTTGCAGTAGAAAGTTGCACGTGCTTCTGTTTAATATATTATAACCAGACCAACGGGGGCCCTTCGGGCCCCCCTATGGTCTGGATTGTTTTATTTTCATTTTTAATAGGTTTTACTTTTTATAAAAAAGTATTAAAACAATTTTGTAAAAATAGCTTTCCAAAAAATAGTGAAAAAATAGTGATTATACAAATTTAGAAATTTCGTTAAAAATACGTTTTGAAACAAAAAAAATATTATAAATTGTTAAAGAACAACGGTAGAAAGTAGAAAGTTGCACGTGCTTCTGTTTAATATATTATAATATTGAACTTGGTCCCCCATGTGGATTTTTTAATTTTTTTAAAATTTACTTGCCTCTGCTTAAAAATACTTGTGCCACAGTCACCATTGCCGTCTTTATTCAATCTTTTACTTTTTCTATTCTTCTTTATTATAAAGTACAACAAGATAGACCAAAGTACTTCTCAAATTTACTTTTTAAAATCTAAATTTTGTTCAAAATGCTAAAAAATTGCTGCAACAGGTATTATCATAGCAATTGACATAATCCGAAAAAAGTATGAATGTTTGTGTTCTCTTCCCGAATCACACATTATTATATGGATCGAGGCGAAAGCGATTGTTTTTGACTTTTTTCCCCATTTTTTGTCGTTTTCACTTTGTTTATTGGACATTTTTCACGTTTGAAATGTCGAAAAGGTTTCTAATGAGATTGTTTGTGTTCTCTTGGTCAAGTAATTTTGTTATATGTTTTATTTGATTCAAATAATAGTCAATGTATGTCAAAATCGTTTTTAAAAGTTGTAGTTTGATTTTTCAAACTTTTCTTTATTTGAATTGTGAGGCAGGGAGAAGTAATTCTATTAAAAATTGTTTATTAGATAATTTTTTACTATACCGAACTTGTGGTCAACCTAATTTGTTAATGAACCCTTCTTCTATTAACTTTTTGCCCGCAAGTATTTCTTTAAAATCTCTACGGCACGGTGTACGTACTGTAACTTTAAAAGTCTACCGAATTTTTAAATTTTTTGTTTTAGGCTGGTTGACTATATACGAAATCTGTGATTAAAAAAATTTTTGAGATTTTAATTGCTTTTTGAAAAAAGTTACTTCAAGATATAGGTAGAAAGAACTGCAGTGGTTACTGTATTTTTTCATTTTTTGAAAGTTTTGTAAGATTTTTAAACACGACGGCGATTTTTACTGTAATGTCTTCTTTTTTAAAGTTCAAAAAACTATCTTTCCCTGCCTATTTCATTCATATTTGCTTAACAAGTTCAGAGTAATAAATCACAGGTACCATCATCATTGGTAACATTGTTGATTCTTTAAAGGTTGTGTCTCTTTCCATTTGGGATAAAACCCAAAACTAGCCAAAAGAAGTATATATAGAACAAAAAGCGTGACAAGTAGCGAATACAATAATCAGTTGTCTTTTTGTTATAATCAAAATGTTATCACTACGAATTTTACGAGAATTTGAGGGAAATAGAAAATTGAAAAGAGTGCTCTTTGTACTCTTAAATTTGCAGGGAGTTTTAGAGTGATAGTTTGCTGAAAATTGGGAAATTTTACATGGGTTTAAGTCTATTTTACTGTAATTCTAAATAAGTTTATCCTTAGTTCTACTAGCTTTAGTCTTATTCCTAGTTCTAGTCCTAGCTTTAGTCTTAGATCTTAGAGACCTAACCTTACTCTTAGCACTTGCCTTGGCTTAGACTTTGTTCTTAGCTTTAGTCTTATCTTTACCTTTAGTTTTAGTTATAGTCCTAGCCTTAGTTCTGATCCCCCCCCGCCCTGACCCTAGCTTTAGCTCTAGTTTTGGCTTTGATATTGACTTTCCAGCTTTCTTGCCCTAACAAGCACCTTTGAGCATTAAAATAAGTATTTAAAGGTCTACTTGGAGGTGTTCTTTGTTACAACTTATGACTTTTACATCATCTGTAGACGGTTATTTTTATATTTACCCGAACAATCTTGATTCTTGGTTGTAACGTGTGTGTTCTTTTGCAATATGTTCTTTTTATGGTCATTTTACATTGGTTGAGCGATTTTTGTGACTTTTTATAGCATTTTTTCACTTTTTCATATTGAAGTTGATAACAATGAACAATTTTTCACATTAAAACTTCATTTTTTCACATTGAGTTTCTGTTTTATTACATTTTAAATATATTTCATTACATTAATATAGCTTTATTTGTTACCTAAAATTTCTCTTACAGGTTGTTATTGAGTAAAATAGAGGTTGTGTATAAAAACAGCTGATAGTTTTTGTACTCCAATGTCTGTAAAGTAATATCGTGTTTTGTTTCTGACAGTGCAAAAGCAAGGAAAGATCTTATCATCTTATCAACAGTGGACACGAAATGGATCGTCTTGAAGAATTTGGTAGGCTTTTCGAATAATTTTTGAAGTTTACAGCTAACTTTTAGTCGTACATTGTAAGGGCGGGGTAAAAATTTTTATCTCGCAGGGGGGGGATAATTTAAAATTTTTGTTTTACACGCCTTTTTAGCACTTGCAGAGATATTATCATACTAAATTTACTTTTTTAGACAAATGGAACCCATACATAATATGGATATTCACATCGATGACGTTTACATGGTGTATAACAGCAGCTCCAATGATGATAACTGCATTTATTGTGGGTCAAGTTTGCCCTCCTGACACTAACTGTACTTCAACACTTGGGACGTTAATGGAGGAGGTAAGGTTTTTAATGATACGAATAAAAGACTAAGCGGGGCTACACATCCTCACTGTAGGTTAGGCTTAAGTGTATGTTAGATTACGATAGGGTAGAGCAGAGCACGGCAAATCACACGGCAAGGCAGGGTTAACTTAGGATTCGATTGTTTATGATAAGGTAAGGCAGAGCAGGGCAGGGTAGGGCGTAGTAGGGTAGGGTAAAGTAGGGTAGGGTAGTGTAGGGTCGGTAGGGTAGGGTAATATTACAGTATAAAATTAAATTTTTAATCTGTTTTACTATAGTAAATTAAAATATACATCTTCAGTTTGACTTAACGGGTGATAAAGCTCATTTAGCGGGCATAGCAACCTCAATGTATCTGTTTGGCAATATGGTTGGAGCTTGTACGGTGGCACGATTGGCTGATTTGTAAGTTGATTTTCTTGATAAGGATAACCTAAAGCCCTAGACCAGAGCCTTTGCCGGGTGCCCTAGCCCAGAGCTCTAGCCCAGATCCCTAGCTTAAAGCTCTCGACCAGAGCCTTAGCATAGATGGCTTTTATTAGTTTTTGTATGATTTTAGGTTAAAAACTTTGATATTTTTGGTTTATAATTAACACTTCTTTCAGAATAGGCCGGCGACCGTTGATAATAGTAAACGTGTTTATATTGGGAGTAGTTGGACTGATAAGTGCTACATCTTCAAGCATCTATGAGTATATAGCACTACGATTTGTACAGGGAATCTTCTTTCCGGTATGAATTTTTTTATTTTAAATTACTAGCTTTTTCAAATAATTCTGTGCTTCTTCTCAGAGCTAATGTTTGGGTTTAGAGGTACAGAATTATGTGAACAACCTAATTTTAATACCCATTCCAGGGCTGTGGCATAGTATCATGGGTATTAGCCTACGAGTCGATGGGTATGTTCTGGCGATCATACGCCGCCTTCTTCTTTGGACTGGCCTGGGTAATTGGCTACTGTATCGTTGGCCCACTGGCTTATTTAATACCGTATTGGAGACATCTGGTGGTAGTAGCATCATTTCCGTCGTGCATATTGGGAGTCATATATTGGTTTACCATACCTGAAAGCTACCATTACATGGTGTCAAAGGGAAAGAGCATAGAGTTGAATAAATGGCTACAGAATGTGAATCGATTCAAACAGGAGACGGAATTAAGTGCTGAGGTTGGTCCTAAATTTTATTTTGGTTTTAGGATAGGGTAGGGTTGTGAGGGGGTTGAGTAGGGGATACTATGGCTGGACGAAGTTGGGTGAGGGTAGAGGTTACAAAATGACTAATAGGTAAGTTAAAGGTATGAGTACGATATAGTGAGGAAAGAAGCATAGGGTAGAATAAGGCTGCGATAGAAAAGGGTTTGAGTAAGGGTGGGGTCAGGTGAAGGTATAGGTTACAAAATCATTACTATAGGGTAGGCCTAACAATTGTAAGTTGGGGAGAGGATATGGTGAGGGTAGAACTAGTATGAGATTGAGGGATCCATATGGTAGGGCTAGATTAAGATTATGGTATTTGAGGCGGTTATGATACAGATCAGTAACAGGAAATTTCTTGGCATGGGTAAAGTAAAATCGGACGACAACTGGCTCTTTAATTTAGGGTAGTTTATGATAAGGTAGGGTAAGGTAGGGCACAGTAGGTAGGATAAGGTAGAGTAGGGTATGGTATGGTGGGTGGGCTAGTGATAAGGCTAGCTACTTTAAAAAAGCAAAATTTTATATTTTAGGACCTAATAAACGAGCATCTAAAGCACCAAAAATCAGATGGGACGGAAAACAAAACCTTCTTGGTACAGCTCATATCGCACAAACGTATCTTACTCTACACTATGGTGTTGTCGTACTTGTGGTAATTTGAACGGTTTATCATATTTTCGTATTTAAAAATTATTAGGTTTTTCAAATAATTCTGTGCTCTTTAACCCCAAAAAATGGTTTGAGAGGGAGCACAGGCTTATTTGAATAAGTTAGTATGTTGTTTTAGGTAGTTTTTCTGTTATAGCTGATAATAATAAAGCATTTTGGACTTTTTAAAACATTTTAAAAATTTTTTTGAAGTTTTATTAAAAATGGCATTTTCTTCAGGGTCTGTGACACCTTCGTCTACTATGGCTTATCACTATTCTCCACGGAATTGGCTGGCGACAAGTTCTGGAACTACATCTTATCAGGTTTCATCGAGCTACCATCCTACGCAGTATCACCATACCTGCTAGATAAGATTGGCAGACGACTCTTTGTATCGGCCGCTCATTTCCTAGCTGGGTTTTCATTTTTGGCCACAATTTTTATCAATCACCCGACTATGTCACTCATATTCTGGCTGATGGGCAAGTTCGGCATCTCATGTGCCTTCACATGCCTCTTTGTGTATGCTTCGGAGGTGTTTCCAACCAATCTGAGGAGTGGTTGTATTGGAGCTTGCGAGATTCTGGCTCGATTAGGGGGTGTTTTTGCTCCACAGGCTAATGAGTTGGTAAGTTGTGGGTATCGTATAGGTGGCGTAATTTTGAGGTTTTTGTTAAAATACGAATATTTCTGATACGTTGTATTAGCTATTTAAGTATGTTTCAACTGTGTGTGCACGTTTAGTTACGGTAGGGTATGGTAGTATAGGACGCGGCAGGGTAGGGTATGGTAGCGTAGGAAGTGGCAGGGTAGGGTATGGTAGTGTAGGACGTGGCAGGGTAGGGTATGGTACTATAGGACTCGGTAGGGTAGGTTAATGTAAAACACGGCGTAAATACTGTTTTAGTTTGAATTTTCCGCAATTATAAGACAATTTTTTATATTATAGTAGCTATCAAAATGATATATACCTTTTTTGCCATAACTGTTTTTAAAAATTAGCTGGAGAGTTGAAAATTGGCATGAACATAGACTATATCTTATCTCAACTGTTATTATATACTGAATTTTAAAATTCCAAAAACTTTTGAATTTACAGTACTTTTACCGTGGTCACTCAGTATATTCGTAACGCCTTATAACGAAGCGTCATTTTTCAAAACTTTATAAACTTCGGAGGAAAAAAATGAAAATATACGTTCACTAGAGTGTGAAAATGTTACAGTAATCCTACAATATACTTTGCACTTTTAAAAATGGCATAAAAGTGGTTTTAACTTTTCATATTTTTTGTTTTTCACATATAAATTCATTTTTTTGAACTTTGAAATATGATGCCATTCCTTTTTTCCAGAAATTCGTATACGAAAAGCTGCCCATGATATTCTTTACCATCGTAGCGGGCGTCGGTGGCGCCGTCACATTGATTTTGCCCGAAACAAAAGGACAAAACCTACCCGATACGATTTGTGAGGCCGAAAATCGACGGAAAATATCACAACGACAACATACGGGAACGATTCTGTCGAATGTGGACTAGTTACATGTACAATATATTTGGTAGTTGTAATTTATCAGAATTAAAAGTTATTACTTGAATGTAATTTTGTATATTATGTTAATAAATGAAAATGATAATGTTTCAAAGGTTTTGGCCGTTTCTTGTGGTTTAGCCTGCTCTACTATAATTATCTTGCTTTGCCCAATTCTATTTTGCCCAGCTCTTCCCTAAATTACCCTAATAACTTTTCTCAAAATGATGTAGGAACTTATGAGGTATTACCTAAAAACTTTAATTTTTTTCATATTTTTCACGGTAATTTATATTGAGCTGTCATATTTCATTAAAAACTCTGATCATCTTTAATGTATGCAGTCTCTCGTCTCTCCAGGGTACTTTCCAGCCAGCTCTAGGCTTCCAATATTGTACACCTTCTTTGGTTTCTTACTGCCTTTTGTCACATAACTGTCGGGCAGCTTTATTGTCACTTTTCGTTGGCATGGCTAAACAGAAAAATTTAAATCTTAGATTTAACAAAACTAAAAAAAAAATTAAAACTAAAATTTAAAAAAGATTTTTATAACCCAAACAGGAACGAACGTATTTTACCAACCTACCACGAGTTTGTCGTCACAATCATGGTAAATGTTGACTTTTGGGTCGATAGTTCCAATTTCATCAGTATCACCTGACAATTCGAATTCACCCTTCTCATCTGAATGTGATGTGTCCATTAGGTCATCAGCGTCCAAGCCTAAAATATTTTTTTTTCAAAAATTTAGCTAATATTCTTAATTTTTTAAATTTATATATTTTAAAAAAATTTGGATTTACACTCCGTATTTTACAATTTTAAAAATTCTAAAATCACCTTTGTAAATTCTTATTTTAAAAATAATAAATTTTAATATAAAAAAATAGTAGAAAATGACGAAAAATCATATAATCAACACTTACCACTGTCATCATCGTACAACTTGACTAACACATCTTTGACTGGTTCACCATTACATTTTAAAACTCCTTTTACCGCAGCGCTTTGAATTGTACCGATAGCGGCTGTGGTACCGAGAAAAACACGACAAAAGAAGCCACTTTGTTGTTGACAACATCCTAAAAACTATCTTTATTTAGCTTCTCAATAAAAATAATTCACCACACCCTCATCATCCCCCTCACGTCTTATATATCTTGCGTTGAAAAAGGGAATAAATAAAAATAGTAAAAATAATAACATTAGTACGCAAAGATAAGTTAAAAACTTCAGCACAAGACAAGAAGGCATTGACCTTGCCCAGCCTAACCTTAGTTTTTGGTTGGCTTGACCAGTGTTTTGCCTAGACCATCCCAGGATTTTTTTTCAGGTCCGGCCCGACTATTTTTAAAGCTCGACCCGGTTCGTCCAAAATTTTTTCGTTTTTCTCCGGTCCGGGCTGAAAATGAGTGCGGACCAGACGGTTTAGGAAAAACACTGGCCTTGCTTTTGCCTTGCCCTAGCTTAGCCAAGACAAGTAAAGCCAAGTCACGTTAAACCAAGATTAGCCCAGCGCAGCCTAGCTAAGCCAAGTCAAGTCAAACCAAGCCCAACCTTAGCCCAGCCCAGTTTAGCCCAGCCTACTCTCTATTTTATCCCTAGCCTAGCTATACTTTAAACAACCCTTAGCCTACCTTGCTCTATTTTTCCCACCTCTACTTTAGTCCTATACTAGCTACACAATTTAAGCAACCCAACATAAGATCATAATATCATATACGTCAGTTAAAGTTAAGAAACCGCTCGTCGTATGATATAATCGTTAATCTTTACTACTCAAAATGACAATCGAGGTTCGCGCAGAGTGAGTCAGAATCCTAGAATTGCTCGATAAACAAACTTCCGCCATGAATAATCAGAGGTGATCTCTCAACGAATACAAAGTCAATGTTATTGATTCGCCAAAGTTTCCGGTCCGCTTTAAAACCGTCCATATTAAAGGTGTAAAGTTAATGGTTGGTGATAAGTGCGGTTGTCAAAACGTTTACTTTTCGAAGAGTAAACAGAGTAAAGTAATAAGCGACAAGGTTTCGGCTTTACTTTTTGTTTTTGGTATTGTTTAGTGCAAGTTCTCTGCCATTCCATCCCATGTTATGCATTGCCCTACCTTGTCCCGCCATGTCCTGCCTTATCCTACCCTGCTTTGCTTTGCTCTGTCTTGCCCTGCACAGCACTGCCTTGCCTTGCCCTGCTATGCTCTACTCTGATGTGCTCTGCCTTTCCCAGATCTGCCATGCCCTACGCTACCCAACCCTGCATTGCCCTGGCGAGCCGTTTTGCTATGAAATATCCTACCTTGGTTTGTTCTGAAATTCCTTGCTCTGTCTTATTATATCCTACCAGGGCCAAGCGGGACTTCTGGTCTGGGGCCAAGGGTCCAAAAAAATCGGCACAGGTACCTGTGCCGATTTTTTGCGAAATTTTTTTTCCCGAAAATCCACAGGGGGAACCACGTTCAATTTTTTTTTAAAATTTTTTTCTGAGGGGGGGGGGCCTCCCCCGTCCCCCCCCTCGCGCCCGGCCCTGTATCCTACCTACCCTAATATTATAGTCAATTTTCGGGATTAATATAGCAATATCTCTTTGACTTAACCCTATTTAAAACACTTTTAGCCATGAAAATCATTATCATCCTATCAGTAACTCTAGCAGTAGCTACAGCTGGCCTAATCGGCTCATCTCAATCATCTGGAGCCAAAGGAAAGCTTACATGCCATGGAAAGCCTCTAAGTGATGTTCTTATCAAATTGTACGATGATGATCGAGGTATGACTTATTTTATGATTGGGCTGGTGGATTTTACCTTACAGTTACCTTCTTCAGGTTGTCCAAATAATTGTGTGCCCCTTTTCTTGATGCAAAAATTTTAAAAAGTAACAAAACATGACCTTTTAGTTATTTTCCAACGTAAAATTTTAAATTTTCAGGCCTAGATGCTGACGATTTTATGGGAAAAACGACTTCTGACAAGGACGGTTACTTTGAACTTCAAGGATATTCAGATGAAATTAGCAGCATTGACCCCAAGATCAACATTTATCATGATTGTGATGATGGATGGACGGTGAGTTTTTTCATAAAATTGTATTCTTTTTTTATTGAAAATGTAAAACTGAATTTAAAATTTTTAAGCTAGTACTGTGAACTTTCTAAACTGGTACAGCGAACACTGAGAATCCTTAAAAATGTCATTTTAAGCGCTTAAAATTATAAAACATCAAAAAATAGGGGTTCTTTTATCAATATTTAAAATTTTTCGCAACTATAATTTTAATTTTACCTCAAGAACATGCAAAATAGCTAAGATTCCCTTTATTGACCTCCCTTCTAAAGTCCAACAGAAAACAAAGGGAGCAAAGCGTGTTCCTCGGTAGTATAGTGGTAAGTATCCGCGCCTGTCACGTGCGAGACCCGGGTTCGATTCCCGGCCGGGGAGGAATACTTTTTGTTGTATTTTTGATTATTTTTTGGTATTTTTTGCATTAGTTAAAAGTTTTAAAAATTATATTTAATGTTAAAAGACCATATTTTTAATTTTTAAGCAACATTTTCGCGTAATGTTCACAAAAGCGTTAAAAATTTTAAAGAATTTCAATTTGTAGTGTAAGAAAACTATAAAAATCTGTAAAAATAGCGGTTTTTAATGCTTAAAATAGGTAACAAACTTTGAATTTTCAGTTTTTATGGCACGCTTGACTAATATTTTTCCTAAAATGAGGTTGAAACAACAACTTTCTTCATAGAGCTTTAAAAAATATTATTAACTTCCACCTGATCATTGAATTCAATGTGACATTCAGCTTTTAAAAGGACAAAAAACAACTTTTTATAACAATTTACAAAATCAAAATAAATGTCTTATCTATAATTTTGTTGTTTTAGCCATGTCAGCGCAAAATTTCGATCATGATTCCTGATCGTTATATCACCAAAGGCAAGGTGGCTCAACAACTATACGATGCTGGTACCATGGAATTGTCCGGAAAATTTCCAGGGGAAACGAGGGACTGTATTCATTAAATATTGTATTATATACCTTTTTTATATTTGCTTAAAAATTATTTGACTTAATAATAAATTTTTAATTTTTATGCTTTTAAAATTAAAAAAAATTGTTTTGATACGAGATATGTGTAGAGCGCGTATTTTACTGAAATAACTAAAAACTTTTAGACTACTATACTCTACCTTACCTTCCCCTATCTTACACTACTCTACCCTACCCTACTTTAGCCTACACTGCCATTGTCCTACCATAGCATTGACAAACTCTATATTATGCTTGCTAAAAGCTAGCCCTTACAACATAGTTTAATTTTTAGAGTACGCTAGATCAAACCTTGCCCTAAACTCTGCCATATCCTATTGATGCAATGATCTAAATATTAGGTTGAACCAAAAGTATCGGGACACTTTTCACTTGTTTTTCAACTGAAAAGTGTCTCGCTTCTTTTGGTTCGACCTAATATTATATGTGACACTATCCTACCCTATACTTTAAGATGGCCTTACCTAAAGAACCCAACTGTATCTTACTCTACGCTGTACTATATCCTACGCTACACATTTTTTTCCAGGGAATAAGAAGTAAAAATTTTTTTTGGTCCACCATTATTCAACACCCCCCCCTCCCGTCTCTGTCTACCTAATCCAGCGGAATTCTACTCTGCTCTACCTTACCTTACCCTATCCAATATTACCCTACCCTCCCAATTTTACCCTGCCCTAAACTTCACCATGCCTAACCCAAAAACCCTTATTACAATTTGTCCTTAATATCATTATTAGACGTAAATTGTCAAAGTCAATTGTGATTGATAACAAATTGAATCAGCTTGAGATGTTTACGTTCCTTTGACTTTGTTAAAAGAAAACATTACATTTACTGCTTATAATGACTCACTTTCTAGTTGTTTTATCTTCTGTTGACTTACTGACTAGACATGAGTCAAAGTTTGTCATTTTTTGTTAGAGGGGCTAAAAATACCTACTAGATATCGTCTAAGTTGGCCAGCTTTTTAAAAATTTTAAAAAATGAGCCCTTACTTTCTACATTACTTTGCTTAGTTGATCGTATTTTACATTTTTGATTCACTGTACTATATTGAAATTGCTTAAATCGGGCCAAACTGTCAAACCCATGTTAATTTCACTAAATATTTAGGAAAGATGTCATATTCAACAAAACTACTATTCGCCATAGCTTTATCTATTATAATATCGACCAACTCAATGGGAATTGGCCGAGAACAAAGTGCTGGAGTCAAGGGAATATTACTCTGTAAAGGACAGCCGGCTTACAAGGTTGAGGTCAAGCTATATGATGAAGATTTTGGTAGGTTCTGCTTTGTATATCTTTGAAAGTACCTACCCTACTCTAAACTACCCTACCCTATAATACCCTACTCTACCGTACCCTAAACTGATATACTATATCTTGTAACATACCATGGTAAATTTAGTGATTTACTAAACTTTACTTTGTGACATAGCAAAAAATACTCTGTAAATTAATACCATGGTAAACCATGTACTGTACTATGTTATGCTCAGTGATATACAACAATTTAGCCTGAGGTATACCATAGTATACTTACTACACTACCTTGTAACATTCCAAAATCAAAAAATATACCTCTTAACCTTAAAACCAATAATTTCAGGCCTAGACCTAGATGACCTATTAGACAGTGGCTTCACAAACGCTTTGGGCGAGTTTCAACTCCAAGGCTCAACCCATGAATTCATGACAATCGACCCAAAACTCAACATATACCACGATTGTGAGGATTCATTGGTAAGTAATAACTTTCTTTTTAAACATTTTTTGGCAAAATACATATTAAGTAATTCAAATAATTCGGTGCCCCCTCTCATAATAAGACTTTTCTTGTAAAAAGGTAACATATACCAAAGATTTTCTTACAAAAAGTAGACCACCCAAGTAAATCAAAAGACATAAATTATATTAACCTACCTCCCTTTCAGCCCTGCCAACGCAAATTCTCGATAGAAATCCCAGAACGCTACGTTTTCGATGGGGAACGGCCCGGCTTCGTCTATGACATTGGAGTGGTCGAGTTGGCAGGGGAAATGCCTGACGAAAGCCGTGATTGTCTACATTAATATTGACTTAATCAGCTTTAGTAACACTGTAAATAAACTTTTTTCATATTATAAACCAAGAGTTTCATTAAGAAGCAAAATTTGAAAAAATATGGTCAATTTGTTCAAATAATTCTGTACCCCCTTTCAAAGCAAATTTTCGAGATTAGAGAGCATAGAATTATTTGAACAACCTAATCAACAAAAATTTTCAAAAATTAAGAGAGGTTTCATTAGAAACAAGGTTATGTTATCCATTCACATCACATAAATGCCATTTCGAATCTATTCCAAATAAAAATTTATTGTCAAATGATCAAATACAAAATGAAATGGCAACAAAAATAAATAAACATCTAAAACATATACATCAAGATCAAATAAAACATACAACAACAATCGAAAAGATGAGATTAATCTTGTCATAACATGACGTTACTAAGTTGTTCAAATAATTCTGAGCTCCTTAACCCAAAAACTTGCTTTCAGGATGAGTGCAAAACTATTTGAACCAACAAATACTTGAAAAACCTTGTAATTCTCCCAGTTTTTAGTGAACATAAACGTTGAAAAATAAAAAAAATCTTTACAATGAGTCAAGTTAAAAGCAGAAAACATCTTAACAACCACTTTAAAGACCTTTATAAAATTATTTTTCAATAAAGTATGCCAAAAAATTGAAAAAAAGCTGAAAAGTCAATAAAATGCGCAAAAAATAATCGAAAAGTCTTTAAAAGTAATAAAGAATACATTGAAAACAAAGAAAAAAGACCAAAAAGCTCTTAACAACAATAAACAAATTCGAAAACTCTTTACAATGATCAAAAAGTTTATAGAAATGACCGAAAATACATTCACAATAAAATAAAATTTTTATTATCCATAACAATATAAGACCAAATATTTACCTATTGCCAGCTCCACGAATTCTCAACGCCATCAGAAGATCTTTTCTCATCATAGTTACTCTCTTCGCGTGAAATGCCAACATATTCGAATCTTCCATCAACTCACAAAGGAACATTTCTGTCGCTTCCTATAACAATATTCTACCGTAATTTAAAACTGATGTATCTACAATATTTTGTAAAACTTCAAAAGTTTCTTTTGTATCATGGTTGGTAATTAAGATAAAGCAAAATCACAGAAACTTTCAAGTCTCTAGCTATTCTGTACAAAAAGTTACAGCAAAAAGCAGTTAGAGCGCTCAATAAAGCCAATACCTATAAATTAAAAACCAAAAACTCAAATTAACCTTACTTGTAGAGCAAAAATAGATTCAACTCTAAATTTGAAATCGAATTTCCCTAAATCTCTGGTAACAGACTGAACTAGCCTCATAAACGGTGCTCGTGGAATCACATTGTGCACTGAAGATTGAAGACGTCTGATCTCCTTCAAAACGTTTGTGCCACCTGAAAACAGATATAATTATCAAAAATGTTGCTAAAAAACATTCAAAAGACATTCTTCTTTAATAAAAAACCAAAATTTTACAAAAATATAACAAATTTAGTAAAATACAACCATTTTCGTCTATATCCATCTATTGATTTACAAAATAGTTCTTCAGCAATAAGTTTACAAAATTACCTCAAATGCCTACAAAATAACAACTAAAAGATAAAGCAGGCTTTTCTTAACATTAGAAACTACATTTCAAACAAAAAACCTAGTTTTATTACCTAAAGTTCAAAATAAAAGTTACCTACAACAAATAAATCAAAGTTAATATCGAAAACTAAAGTAAATAAAAACACACTAATTTAAAACTTTCACAAGTTCTTTTAATACATATTCAAGTTGTAAATTCATAAACATTCAACATCTAACACGCAAGAGAGAGACAATATTACCTAAATCACAAGATGACCATAAATAATATCAAATAACTCTTTGGAAACACAAACAAATATAAAAATACGACTTTCTTGCATTGTATAACCTTCATCTGTATTTTTTACTTTTAATTTCATAAACTTTAAATCCTTATCAAGCCTAAAAGGAAGAGTATTACCTAAAAATCAGCAACCCAATAAATAATATTGAAAAATTGCATCAAACCTTCCGAACATCAGATATTAGCGCTAAATCAAATAGAAATACCTTATTCTATCTTCCTTTCCTTTATTTTATTCATGCTCATCAACGAACTTACGTTTGGACACTTCCTTTGTCTTCAACACGATCTTCTTCTTGCCTCCAGCCTTATATCCGTCTTTGAATTTGACAATCTCCGGAGACTTCAACAAAGACTTCTGTTGATTTTGCGTCTTCTTGGCCACTTCTTTTCTCTTGGTCTTTCCACCAGACGAAGCTGATGAAGTCCAAGATTCCGCGCTTCTGACGATGGAAGTTGACTTCTGATTCTGGGTTTTCTTGGCAACCATTTTGCGATTTCCATTATTATAAGAGCTTCCGGAACTGGGTAAGCTGCTGGAAGACGTTGTTTGATAACTCGAATGCATTTGGATGTTGTTTGAAGATAATGCACCAAAATTGCGAAACATCCTTTCGAATTCCACAGGACAAAATTTTGTCCGCTAAATTCGGATATTTTTGTGACATTTCGTTCATTTTTGTGGTTTTTTGCGACATTTCGTTCGTTTTTGTGGTGTTTTGTTTAGTTTATGTTAATTTTTGATATATGCCTTATATGATCAAGATAAAATGACATAAATAATTTAGGATTTATGTTTTTATTCATTGTGTTTTGTTAGAAATTCTTGAAATATTAGTTTCAAGTTTATATATTACATTTTGGCAGAGTTATGTTAGTTTTAAAACGTCCAAAGCCAAAAAAGTTCGATTCCGCTTGAAAAACGGACCATTTTTTGATTTTCAAAACCTTGTAACTTTGTTGTCATGATATCTAAGATAACAAAACTTTTCGAAAATATGCTTTATTATATCCTCTTTAATATCTATATTATAGATTTTACATAAATTTCAAAACAAGAGCTACAGTCGAGTTGCTGTAACATTGGTTCGTCGCAAAATTCGAAAAATCGTCTTAAAAATTGGAAAAACGAGGTCAAAAGGGAAGTTATTTGATATGTTAAGACTTAAAATAGTTTATTATAGCAATAGTAATAAGACTAGTACAATTTTTGATCATACACATTGACTTTGAGTTCGTTTTCGATAGGTACGAGAAGGAAACAGGAGCGGACAACAAAGTCGTGGTTCAAGCAGACTGACTGTCCTGGGCAGGATTCTTTGTCTGTGCAGGCTGAAAATGTGGCAAATTTAAAATTTTTGAGTCCGAATTAGATGAATTTTCATATTTTTGAAAAAATTTTTTTTTAATTTTTTAGAAACTTGAGGTTAGACATGAGAAACGGGCCGGCCTTGAGCAAAATTTAGATCGGGCCGGGCCCAAAAATTTAGGCCCGGCCCGCGGGCCGGGCCTTGGAAAGTCGGGCCGGACCTGGAAAAAAAATTTCTAAATTTTTTAAAATTTTTTATTTCAATCCCCGTTTATGTTTTTAGATTTTATTGGGTTCTATGATCCATAAATGATCTAAAAAAACAATTTAAAGCCAATTTTCCGTTTAGTTTTTAAGTTTTAAAATTTTTTTAATTTTTTAAAACGGGCCGGGCCTAGTAATTTTCTGATCGGGCCGGGCCGGGCCTGACCAAAATAAAAAACGGGCCGGGCCTAAAAGTTAGGCCCGGCCCGCGGGCCGGGCTTGAAAATTGGGCCCGGCCCGGCCCGTTTCTCATGTCTACTTGAGGTTACCTAAATTTAAGGGTTCATAACATAGTCCTTCGTGACAAACATGGTTCAAGGACTCGTAGCACTTGAAATAGCAACCTGAAAATTAAAATATTAGTTTTTCTTTATTGCTACTATCCAAAGGAGTCCTATAGAGTAGTTTTTTATTATTATTAAAGACAAAAAACAGCTGTTATACTCTGTGATATTGATGTAGCCTATAATAAGTGAAAAAATTTGAAAAATAAAGGTTCAGAAGCTTACTCTGCTCGTAAATATCTTTGTTCTCATCAACTTTATCCAAGAATTGTACCAAAGCAGTGTAAAGATTGTAATCTTTCATTTCGTCAAGTGGTCGATGTAATAAACTGTCACAAAATGTGACAATTACGAATAAAGGTACAAAACGAGCGAAATAAGCCATCACTGACTTATAAAATTTTACGAAATGAGTAAAAATGAAATTTTAAATCTTTTTGAGATTTAAAAATAAATGGTTTTTCGATTCAAAAATAGCTAGAACTTTGCTTTTAACACAAAAGCATTTTTAACGTATAACTTGTCACCTGCAGCCCGCACTGTATTAAAACCGTATTTTATAAGAAATGGCAAGAACTTTGTTTACAAATTTAAAAAAGGACAAGAACTTTCTTTACAAAACTAAAAATGGCAATAACTTTGTTTACAAAACTAAAAATTTCAAGAACTTTCTTTACAAAACTGAAAATGGCATGAACTTTGTTCCCAAAAGAAAAAAAAATATTTTAGTATAACTTGTCACCTGCAGCCTGCACTGTAACAAACATTGATAATTTATGAAGAAATGGCAAAAACTTTGTTTTTAAAACTTTCTTTACACAACAAAAGATGGCAAGAACTTTCTTCACAAACTCTAGAAACGGCAAGAACTTTATTTACATTATGGACTTATGATATCTTTTCCTAATTGCTGTTATGTTAGAAACTCTGTAAGTTGTTGTAGAGAAATTAGTGTTGGGGATATCCGTTTGGTTATCTCGACTTTTCTCGGCGGATTTGCGATGCAATTTTCGTTTTACGACTTTTTTCTCAACTCGTATTTCGAAAATAGGTTAGCAACAACTTCTCCTTTATTTTTAGAATTACTAATTTATCTTTTTTGAGATTTTAACAATATCGTAGACTATCGCTATCTGCATTTTGCTTGGACTGCTTGGACTAGTTTTGAGGTTCAGTCTTGCGATTTTTGAGGTCCGGCCGGGCTACTTTTCAGGACCAGTTAAGCTATTTTTGAGGTCCAGTGGAGCGATTTTTGAGGCCTGTCCTATATAGTCTGTCCGAAATTTTTTCTGTTTTTGTCTGGGCCGGATAGTCGAGGCAAAACAATAGTCGTCATAGCCAAATCTAAAGGATGATCATTTTGTGTTGACTATAGAGGGTAGAGCAGGTTTACGGTTAGAATAGGGGATAGAAGAGAGGGATAAGTGGGTAAGGCAGCGCAGAGCAGAGCAAGATAGCGTTGCTTTGGCTGGGCGGGACGGGGTAGGGCAGGACATGCTTGAGTTGTGTAGGGTAGGATAGGGATGGTAAGGGTAGTGTAGGGTAGGGTAGGGTAAAATGGAGTAGTGTGGTGTAGCGTAGGGTAGGGTAGGGTATTTTCTTTTCTTTAAAAACTTGAGATTACTGTAACTTTTTTAAAATAAAAAAATACTTTTAAAGTTATAAAAAGTAATGACATATTGTGCCACTATTAAACACATGTTCATAGCAATATAATGTCAACGTTTCTTTTGTTTTAGGGCAGTAATACCTGTACATTGTAAAATGGTCTTTATACTCCCCCCCCCTCTAACGAGAACAAAGCCTTGTTTTCCGCCGATTTTCGCGCTCCGAATTTCTCATAAAAATCGCGATTCTAGTTCAGCGCCAACCGGCTGACAAAAACCTTCTGGTTGTCGGGCGTCTCTTCGGAGACGGACACTGTCTTGCTCGAGGGGATTTTTGTATGAGTTGAGGCTTTTGTGGTGACGTTATGTTCAGTTTAAGAGTTCAATAGGGGTTTAATGAACTTTAATTTATTCTTGGATTTTAAGGAATTACAGTAGGGACTTGTTATAGAAAAAACCGTATTCTAATTTCTTGTGGCTTTGTTGATTTATAAAGGTAAAGATAGAAAAGTTTGGCATATTTCGATCATAGATAACGTTAGTAGGCTGAAATTTCGTATTTATTAAAAGTGGGGTGAGGGTTAACTGGGATGGTCAGCAAGGAGAGGGGGATAGCTGGGAATTTATTTTTATAAAATCTTTTTTGAAAAACGAATGTAAAGCTTCTGGTTATGTGGGGTATCGATTCACTCTCCCTTCCCCAAGGAAGCTTATTGTACTCCCTCCCTTCCCCCCCCTCCTCCTCCCCGAAAATACCCGTAGCAACGTTCCTGCTTTTAGTACCAAAACTTTTTATAAGAAAAGTATCCTCATACAGGGACGTAGCTACGCTTACCTGTGAGAATTTTTTGGATCAGCTTTGGGGGGGGAGTCATCCTGAGCCCATTCCCAAACGACGTCTCTGCTTTTATACCCTGAGTTTCAACTTTTTTTTACTTTTCCCTTATTACCTGTAACTAACAGTGCAATTTTTTTATTTGTCTTTCAAGGGTTGGGCATAGGGGTATGAGAAACGGACCTGGCCCACTTTTGAGGCTCGGCACGTTTTTATTTTTAACTCAGGCCGGCCCGGTGTCAATTTTTTTACGTGCAACGGGCCGTGTCTGATTTTCAGGCAAGGCCCGATCTAAGTTTAGTTCAAGGCCGGGCCTACAGGGCTCGTTTCTCACCCCTGGTTTGGCGAGTTTTCTGTTTTTTAATTCTTGGCTGGTTTATGTTAGGTTATTCAAGAAGAAAAGGGATATTCATAGCAAAATTTAATTTTTTTAAACTTAAAATGTAATACTAAAATTTTAAAATTCACTTTCTTGATTTAGAAAATTGTTAGAAAGTTTGTTCTATAGCTATAGTCTAGACTTCACACGGGTTGTAGTTTATATTTTACATAAAATTAATCCTTTTTTAGATGATTTAGATCTTTCATAATCAAGAAAAAATTTTTTTGTTATTTGCTTTTGTTCCACTGTTACCTAAAACCACTTTTTTTCAAAAACCACAAAAAAATCGAATTTTTAATCTTCAGAAAAGATGTCTTTTTCTCTGACTACTCTCTTCTTTCGAGTATCACCTTTTGGCACTTTTCTTTTTATATTTTTTTCTCTGACTGCCCTCTTTATTAAATTGGTTTGAATTTATACCGTTTTCTAGCCCTTTATTCATCTTTTTTTAAAACAATTTTTTTCTCTGCCAACTCTCTTTTCCCTCAATCTCTATCAAATTGATCTAATTAACACCTTTTTCTAGCTTAACTCCTGTTTTTTAAAAACCACTTTTATCCCCTATCTACTCTCTTTTTTAAAAGCTCTCTCTTCTCTCTAATCACCCTCTTCATTCCTCTGTATCTCTTGCAAGTGGATGTGAATCGGCGTAGCGAAGCGGATTCGAGTAGATTCGAAACGCTCTCTGATTTTTGTTGATTTTTTGGTTTCCCAACGCGGATCTGAATTATAACTTGTTGGGTGGGATAAAAAATATAATTTGATCTAGTGGGTTTGGTTTGGAACCCAAGATTTGTGAGGTTTTATTTGTTTAGAGTGGTAGTAAGTTGTATTGTTTTAGGTAGCTGTAGGGGGGTAATGTGACTTTGTGAGTTGAAGTATTGCTTTTTAATTAAAAAATAGTTATGGTAATACACTTTTGTAAACATTGTAATGTTGTTTTGGCAATTTTTTATTTGTTTTTTTGCAAAAATGATTAAAAACTGAGCCTCACCACGAAAACAATGATTTTGATTTTTATGGTTTTAATTAAAAATTGCATGTGATTTGAAAAACGAAATTATTAATGGATCTTTCAATACAAAATTGCGTATTCTACTTTATTATTATGGAAAAAATGGGTCTTACCACGAAAACATTGATTCTACTTTTACGTTTTTATGAAACATTGTTTTTAATTTGAAAAAAATGATATTAAGTATAAATGGATTTTTTGATGGTAAAACCGTGTATTATATTTTAACATGGAAAAAACCGAAAAATAGGGTCTCACCACGAAAACCCTAATTTTTCTGTTTAATGGTTTCAAAATTTTCAAATTTTGCAGAAGCAGCTTCTTGGCTCGTAACGTGACTTTTTTTTTGAAAAAAAAATTTTAAAACTAGGTTATGAAGTATCAAATTTTAAATTTTTTAAATTTTGAAACCGTTTTCAAAATTTTTGATACGATTCTGAAATTCAAACCACTTTATGATAATTAGCCCTTATCGGAGATGGTTATCGGTTCCACTTTGGGACATACGATGGGAAAGCAAAACGACGATTACGCAGCATATAACAATGTCATTTGTCATTCCTTGACCTTACTGTCAGCTTTTTTGGTAGCAATTTGAATTGGCGGGGTGTAGTGTTATCTGATCATAATTGATTTTTTTATTTTTGGATTAAAAATTAATTTTTTATAACAGTTTTTAAGTTCGGGTAGGATAATATAGAGAAACATGGGCTGGTAGGGCTTAAAACCTACTAGGCCTGGTTAGTGCTAAGCCTGTGACCAAGGATATGACCAAGACTAGGGCCGGGACTATAGTCCCGCGTGACAATTGTGAGGCTGAGGCTAGGGCTACGGCTGAGAGGCTAATACTGAGACGAGGGCTAAGGCTAGAGCTGAGAGGCGATATATAGGGCTAGGTACAGTATAAGTAAGCTAATTTCATTATCAAATTAAGTGTGAAAAGTTTGCAAATTTGTTAACGCGTAATTTGATTACTTTTTGAGAAAGTTTTGGCGTTTAACGTAATTGATCAAGTTTGTAATTTTAATTTAATCACAAACTTATGCTGTATTACCTAAAAATGTAATTGAATTTGGCATTTTGTACTTTGTTATTGCTTTACAAGGAAAGTGCCCAACTTGCCCCATTCAGAATCAGCTTGAAACTTTTATGTGAATACTTTTTACTACCAACAGTACCCATAAAAAATTTTAGCTCGCGCTTTTGAGTTTTAAAATTAAAATATTTTAGTTTCCCGCCAGTTTAACAAATTTGGCATTGTGATGCAAACACTTTTTTTGATTTTCCAGATAAGATAGGCTTACAAACCTAAAGTTGCAGGTTCATTTGAAGCTTTTCTATCATTATATTAAAGTAAAATGATTAAAAGTTAAAAAATAATAAAGAAATAAGCATGAAACACAATGCCAATTCGGCGGGAAATTCAAAACGTAATTTTTTGATCTTGATTTTCTTCAATATTGAC